AGTGTAACGAATGTTTAACAAATTTCTTAAGGAAAGCCAATACGATATTAACGGTTATTTGAAAAATTGTAATGAAATGATTGATCGACCACCGTTAGTAAAAATGTTAATACTAATTAATGGAATTTTCATAAAATGCAGTTCAAGGCATATATTTTTTATCCTAATTAGTAAATAGGTTTGAAAAATAAACAATTTGTCATGAAGCTAAGGCTCTGGCTTTTACCACCATGAGAAATTTCTTCTTTAATGAATCGAATTTATTTTCTGTAAAACATTAATGATAACAGAATATGATAACAGGAAAGGTTATATTAAACAAATAGTATGTTCAATAATATTCTTTTATTTCTTGCTTGCGTTCTTGAACTTAAATTATATTAAATATAAAATACTTGTATAAAAGACATTGCTTTACATTTTTATCATACAGAATTCATTACAAAATCTAGTGTCCTATTTCATATTATAAATTGCAATACAAACTGCTATTCAACGAAATATCCTGTTAATAAAAAACCACCTGAATCACTAGTTAGGATATCAGGGTGTGTTCTGTCTGGCAATACTTGATAGGAACGTAGAAAATTTGAGACTAGTCTTAGATTAATAACATTTTGTTGTTGTTTTAACATCATGTACGTCTCTTGCAGAGGTTCCCGATATATGTGATAAATGACAAAAGGTCTGGATGCTCCCAGAAAAGGCAAAAGAGCAGTTACAATATTTAAAGGATGCTCTCTAGCTACAATAGCTAATCCTCGTGCTTTCGAATTCTTCACGAGATCTACAGCTTGTTGGGTTTCCTTGAACCATCTTGGTTTCTTTGTAGGAACAATGTCAATAGATTTACATGTATCGAATTTATCTAATTTTCGTTTTGTTCCTATAGAACAGCTATCTGAATTTTGTTCTTTAAGGACTTCAGAGCTTTCACTAGTTTCATTTGTGTTACTAGTACTACTTTCTTTGTCATCAATTTCTCCATCCTGTTGGATATCATTGCTTGTATGATTTTCTATTGGTGTACAATTAACTACATTATCTTTTTCAGAAAGTTTAAGTTCAGTTTCTTTAGTCTTATTGATTGAGTTATTCCATGCCTTTTTCGATGCCAGAATGTTACTTAAAACAGCTTCTTCACCTTGGTAATATAGTCTTAAAAAGCTATAAATATTGACATTCATTAATCTGTCTAATTGTTCTTTAGGAAAGTTCATGGCATGTATTAATAAAGCTTTGGGTATATTTCCAGGGTGCAAGTTAATTAAATGTCCTTTTGTATTAGCACCAATTCTATCTAACAATGCAGCTGCTGGTAAGCCATGACAGCCACTGTCATATAATATAAATAATCCATCTGACTGCACGTCGCTATGTGACAATATTTGTGCCAATGTGTCCATCCGTAAGCTCCCAATCTTAATATGATCTAGTTTGAAGTACACATCATGCAAAGCACTTATGCTAGGTTTGCATATAGTCAAATATCTAAGATACTTTTGTTCTTTCTTTTTTAGATATTTCTCCTGTGAATATTCTGTCTTATCTGAGAAAGATTTGTTATTTTCAATTAAACTACCTACTATTTCCTTACCACTTTTACCAGCTTCTTGAAGCTGAGTGATCTCATCCTTAGATAATTTCTGAGAAGTGCCATCATCGTTGATTAAACGATTATCATGACCACTGGGTAAGGTACTCAATAAATCGTCCCATGATTCAGTTTCTGGGCCTTCTTTTAAGGAAAACGTTCTTTTTCCAATTTTTGATGGAATCATCTCAAAAGTGGTCCAAAATCTTTTGCCAATAATTTCACCCATATTTATCAGGTCTCTTCCCAACATTAACTGTCCATTGGCTGTCACTTTGTAAATCTTCTTAAAATTTAATTTCTTTACTATTACATACTTTCCTACGATAATTACATCTTCCTCCGATTCGCTCATGTTTGTTAATCTCATGGGCTTTCTGTACACGTTTTTATTGAACTATACATAACATAACCTAGTTGTTCAACATAACCTAACATACAAATTATACTAGCAAATCAACACACCATCGATACCAGTCGTGTGTATAGTACGTGTACAGAAAAGATGAGTTCAGTGATGCAAAGATGACACACGAAAAATTGTTCACTGTGACGTAAAGATGATCATTTAATTCACTATCATTCATCGTACTGTGGGAACTTAATTTTGAACATTTTTTATAACAATGGTGCATGCGTGATGTTTCAAAAACTACAAAGAAAATAAAAGTAGTGGTGGGAACGTAACTTTCCACCAGTACTTCATTACTCTTAATCTGGATATTAGCTAAATATAATATTTCATATTTGTTTAATTGAATTTGCTTACTAAAAATTAAACATTTTCGCATATTCATTAATATCGAAAATTAAAACAGTTCAACACGTTAGCATAGCTTATACATACATCGAGTTCACTGAACGTCATGTAGATGATTCGTCTTCAGGCAAACTATCTGAAGCCGTACCTATACATAATCATCTGTTATTGTATATGGTCGAGACATATCCATAACCATCTGTCATAAAAGGTTATGTTATTATCTATACGAGAGTTTGTTCAGTGTCAAAAGTTAATTCAATATTTTGTTTGTTTTCCGCAACTATATATTTGTAAGTAACAAGTAAGTATACTTACTGTATACTTACTATGTATTAAAAAAAATTTTATCTCATTTCATAAAAATTTCATAACTGGCTTTGAAGAAGTTTGAATTTGTCTTATCTTTGTTTTTTGTTACAGTAATTGAGAAGAAATGTATCTTTACAAAGAGTTTCAAGCAGTCGTGCTTGCTGGTGGAGGAGGATCTCGTATGACTGAACTTACTCATGGACAGTACAAATGTTTATTGCCAATAGGAAATATACCAATGCTCTGGTATCCTCTCCAATTATTAGAACATGCTGGTTTTAAAGAGGCCATTGTTGTTGTATCTGAGAACATGGGAAACAATGTATCATTTGCTTTGAACAAATTAAACCTCAAGATTAAAGTAGACATTGTTGCGGTTGAAAATGCAGAAGATCTTGGAACTGCAGATTCCATTAGGCACATACATGACAAAATTCACACTGATTTCTTAGTGATTTCCTGTGATTTAATCAGTAATGTTGACATATGCGAGATTTTAAATCTGTATAGAAAACATAATGCCAGCATTGCTGCACTCATGCTTCCTGTACCCAAACTACCAGACGACTTTGTAACTCCAGGTCCAAAAAATAAACAAAAACCAGAGACTGATTTGATAGGTATTGATAATGAAACAGGACGTTTAGTGTTTTTGGCTTCAGCTTCTGACTTTGAGGAAACCATTAACATTTCTCAAATGCTTCTTAAAAAACATATAAGTTTCACTATTCACTCAAAATTGCTGGACGCTCATCTATATGTGATGAGTAAATGGGTTTTAGATTTTTTGGTGCACAATAAGTAAGTAAAATAGTATGGAAATGTTTTAAGAGTTTCATGTAGAATATACATAATAATTTATTTCTTTTTTAACAGGAGTTTCAGTACTTTAAAGGGTGAACTTCTTCCATATATTGTTAGAAAACAATTGACTAAGCCTCCTAAAAAACATATAGATGATAAAAATACATTAATAGTACCGGTTAATTCAAAGAAAGATATCTATGATTTTGCTGATGAGGAACCTCTAGACGAATTAATCAGGAAAATGTCAGCATATAACGATCACAGTACTGATTTAAAAAATGTGTATCATGGGGATGTGCTAAGATGTTATGCTCATATTGTTAACGGGAAATTCGGGATTAGAGCAAACACTATTCAGATGTACCATTTTGCCAATACCAAGGTAAAAGTATGAAAAACAATCCCTTCTCAATTAATTCTTTATTATCAGAATATATATTTCAGATATCAGAATGGTGGAATAATAATGATATGGAAAAATCTAATATTCCAAGTATCTCGGCTACGGCTACTATAAAAAGTACACAAATGCAAGATTGTCACGTCGATGACAATGCTATTATACATGAAAAAACTTCCCTTAAACAATGTTACATTGGACCAAATGTAGTTATTGAATCAAAGACTAGAATATCACAGAGTGTTGTAATGGAAAATGTTACTATTAAACAAAGGTAGTTTTAATAGTAAATTAAATTAGATACACGAAATGATATTCTATTTTTTAATTTATAAATTGCAGGTGCGTGATACATAATTGCATACTATGCAATGGTTGCATTATCGAAGAAGGTACAGAATTAAAGGATTGCGTGGTTGGTTCTCAACACATTGTAGCAAGTGGAAGTCAACATTCTCGTGAAGTTCTTACTGACGCTGATAAACTTATAGAATTTTAATTATTTATTTTCAGTATACACAATAAAGAATTTGTAAAAATAATTATTTCATTTTGCAAATATTGAAATTATTTTCCTTTATTTGAGCTACTCTTACATCTGAATTATTGATTTTATAATCCAGCTTATATATTGTAATAAGTAGAATTACATTAACAATTACACATGTATGCATTTGATAAATTACATAAATGTGTAATTTATCTTTTTTAATTGAGAACCACTGTGTGGTTCATACATACTTGTTTGGTCTGGGAACATACGGTTTTGGAACGCACTCTGTCATCTCTTTTGAAGTGTTCCTTCGTGCAAGATGGTGAGCGAAAATTTGAACAACTAATATCTATTTATTACAAAGCCATCTTAGATTCTTGTTACATAAAAACGATAAAGAAAATTTCGATAACTCTCATAAAAATAATATGTAGCTATAGTTCTAGCAGAAAAATTCAAAATAAGTAGTTAATAAATGTTGTATGGTGGAAGAGGTTATGCGAGAAATGTTTACGATTTGACACGCGGTTTTAAATTGACAATGCAGAATAAATATATTCGATTGATTTTCGAGTGTTTAATGGTTTATTGTTTGCCTCAAAGACGACATGGATTAAACTTAAAATTAATGTGAAATCATCATGTTTACAGACGAAGGGTACATCAAGTTTTGGTAAGCGGCGAAATAAGACACACACGTTGTGCAGACGTTGTGGTCGGAGCTCGTACCACATCCAAAAGTCACAATGTGCACAGTGTGGATATCCTCAGAAAAAAATGCGATCGTGTAAGTTCATTATCATTACATCTATTTACCAAGTTACAAAAATCACAAGGGATAATGTATAAATACAGTCTAACCTCAATAAGTTACTACATAATCTTTTTTATATGGCATGCTACATGCCTTCCCATAATACATGAAGTTTTTGTCATATGTACACAAGGTTCTATTATTTGATATCAATCATAAAAAGCTTATAAAGTTCTTGTCATCATATACACTAAAAGTTTTATTACTTAGTCTCAATCATAAACACTTAATGAAATTACAGTACTGTAACATTCTTATATTTTTATTTAGATAACTGGTCAGTGAAAGCTAAAAGGAGGAAGACCACTGGTACTGGTCGTATGCGGTACTTGAAGATTGTTCGCCGTAAATTCAAGTAAGTTTATAATAATATATTTATCAACTATGGCTTAAGTACTCTTGTAAATAATATATAAATTTTTCTTTTAGGAATGGATTTAGGGAAGGTTTACCAAAACCAAAAGCTGTTGCAACTAAATAATTCTGACTTATGTCACTGTGTTGTATATCTATAAAATTTTGACTACCAATAAACAACAGAAAATTCATTTCTTGTGTCAACACTTATTTCTCATAAGGCAATCCTATTTTAGCAGTAGCAGCTATATCTGCCTTAAGTACACATATATATATATATATATATATGTACAGTAAAGCATGAGTTCACTGATCGCTGCATAATATTTTTACCAGGTAAACTGAAAGAGATAATGCGAATGTAGAGTGGGGCTGACAAACTGCGCAAACGCGGCAGGACGTTCGACAGCTCGCGTCCCTATAATTGCCGCGATTTTATGAATTTTTTGCAGTAACTCGCTGGTTTATAGTACACCATGATAGCTTGCATCCACGTTTATCTGCATTAGTCTTTATTCTGCAGCTAGTAGTAGCGGTATGATCCTGGGCCGTTTTTACCCAAGATTTCGCCTTCATAAACATCAGAAAATTAAGAACAGTCGTATGATTATATAGCAGTGACGGAAGCGGGTCAAATTTAGACAATTTGTGTTGAAATAAAACGGGAAAACTTGCCAAATTGAAGGTCAAGGTATTCAAAAGTTGAAATAAGAGTTTTCAAGTAGACTTTGATGCTAGATTTGTTGCTCCAATGAACGCTTGGAGAAAATTATTTGGTAAATAGTTTTCAAATTTCAACAATTCCATAGCTATTTGTTTAAAGTATGAATAGGTAATTTCTGTGTATTTAATTATTAGATAAGTACCTGCTGGTCACGAATACAGTGAGCTGTGGTCTGATGATGGCTGCAGCAGACCTGATTCAACAACGCAGTGAACACTGGAAGAAAAAAAACAAGAATCCATCAGAGGAAACTCGTACAATGATCGTCTCTTTGGATGATCAACATCAAGAGTCCAATAACTCCGAGGTTTATGTGCACGACTTCGTTAGAACGAAGAACATGACGACTGTGGGTTTAATTCAAGGTCCCTTTCATCACTGGTTCTACCTAGTTCTGGATAAAGTAATACCTGGTAGAACTGCACTATCAGTCGTTAAAAAAACCTGTCTGGACCAATCAATTGCTAGTCCCACCTGTTTAGGTATATTCTTTGTGGGCCTTGGAGTGTTGGAGAGCAGGAAACTCGAAGAGATATATGATGAGTTGAAAGTGAAGTTATATGACACATGGAAAGTACGTATTATGCAAAAAAGTATAACTAGAAAGCTTTCAATCAACTCTGAACGTAATTAGATATATGTATGTTACTACACATAGATCAAATTAAGGAAAGTCATTTCTTTCCAGGTGGATTGTTGTTTCTGGCCTCCGACACAGTGCGTCAACTTCTTTTTTATTCCCTTTCGATACCGAGTTCTGTATACGAATTTTATGACGATGATTTATGATGTATTTCTTTCGTACATGAAATATGTAAGTATTTATTTTACTGATTATATATTTTATATTAATGACCATTCCTTTTACAGGATCACCAGTACCAATAGCCCGAAATCTCAAGACTAGTCCACATCATTTTCAATTAATAATAGCTGATAATACGTATATCACACGTAGTCTCTAAGGTCTTGCTAATCTGTGAAAATTGTAACATCCATTTCATGAATTAATTTATAATTCGTCAGATACACATAGATAACTAGACTTCGATAAAGCTTAACATCTTGCATCAAATATTAATTGTAAGTTGTTACTTGCACAGGATTACCAATTTTGTAGCTGATCCTTTTTTCTATAAAAATGAATTATTTATTCTTTTCCAACTTTTGAACAGATTTTAAAATTCGCGGATTGTTTTAAATCTCGGACGTAGCGCCGGAAGTAGTTAAAAATCCCGGACGTCTGGTAAACCTGAGCATACAAAAGATATATATATATATATATATGTACATTTGGTTATTTCATCATTGTTTTTGTGTCATTATACAATTTCGTTATCGTGTTTCGAAATCTTTGTTATCCGACATAGTTCGACATGACTAAACGATAAGGTTGTGCGCTTGATTGCATTGTGTGAGATAAGCGCGAAGGCTATACATACTCTCATTGACAAGTGGAAGAAAGATGTAATTGTCGTAGAAAAAGCGAATTTGTAGATAAGTTATTGTTTGATCGTAGCGATACAGATTTAAAAGGTTGTGAAAAAATGCAGTAAATGTATGACCAGATCTGACATTAAATCATACATTGTAAATCAATTTTGAATATGTAATTTTAACAAATAAAATGATTCGATGAACAAAATGTATACTCATTACCTAGAAACCTGGAATACCCTTTATTAACTTCCATTGTAAGACCTGAAAAAGCGTGAACTTTCAAATTAAAATAACAATGTATGAAGCTTGTTTGTGTTATCAAAAAATGCATTTGTTTTGACGCTATGAGAATGTCGTGTATTATAGTTGGCGTCGAAGTTTCGAAATTCATCAGACTGATCCTTATCAATATGGGTTTATCAAGACGCCAGTATGCAACCTCGTGTCTGATGCATTCTGATGGAATTTTTAATCGTCTTTTTTATCACACGTGACAACCATCCATCGAATGGAAATTGTTTATTAGGATGATAGCTTTTGTTTGGCATTTGGCGACGACAGGATTACGGCCTCTTCTAAGCCTTCAGTCGCCAGTAAGCAAATATGGATTGTTGAGTGTAAATACAAATAATAAATTGCTCGAAACAATAAACATGATAGCCGCATCCATTTCTAAATCGAATCTTCTAGAAAAGAGTAAACTATTCGTGTCTACATGACATACGTTTAGATTTGGATGTATCGAAAATATCATAAAATGCGATTAAAGTCTAAATAATTGATGACAACAGTGGATCAATTTATTATTAAACTCGTTATCGTGTATGCATCTAATTTTAAGTCCGTTTGGGTATAACTTTTATTTTTAACAAAATTTTACTTTACATTTGTACACATTATAAAATACTTTCAAAATGACTACAAAAATATAGCTAATTTAAAACAATTTGTATAATATTAGTATTTGTATGGAAAATATTGTATAAACAGAAATTATTAACACAGTGTTTTATGTAAATAATACAAATTTAATCTATATATCGTTTATCCATGGTTTAATTGTTTGCGAAATGGAGGGAGATCCAAAATTCGAGCGGTTCCGAGATACATTAATCCTAGAATGCATAATCAATATTATAACATAAGAGAATTAATTAAAGCGTAAAACTCATTGTTAAGATTAGTTAGAATTTTGAGAACACAATTTACATCGAGATCTTATTGTTACCAATAGTTTAAGTTAGATCACAAATAGTACTGGTTTTAATAAGCTTTTCTAATTAGGTGAAAAAATGTGAATTACCGCTTCCAATCGAATACATTATAGATTTCCCAATGTTTTGCTGAAATTTCTTCGCATGGTGTGAAACATACAAACCAGATCCAATAAGACCGATACCGCTAAAGATTTTACAACCAAGACAGTCTCTGTCTCGATTTTTAATGATGTTGTTCACTGTGCCTGTCATTTTCACTTAAAATTAAAAAAGCAACACAATTTTTGCATAAAATGTTTATAGTGAGAACTTTACAGTGCGTTATCGTAAATACCACAGGTTATGTTTCTACCGCCATGTTTGTATTGTATATGTAATGAAGTCAATCGAGATCGGATATATCTCAAATTTTTTTTTATTCCAGTATATAATAAAAATTACAAGAGTAGATCTTATTTTGATTTGTAGACAAACACTGAGGAAAATAACACAAACACGTAATACTTAGGCTATTAAATACATGAGCTTTTGACTCTCGTACTAGACATATTTTATTAGAGGTGTAATACAATGTACTTAAGTTATTTGCAACCTATATTTATTTATCTTATTTTAACTAAAGTAAATTACACACTTTCTTTAAATTTCTGTGTGTACTTATTCAATGATTACTCCACCCGTTGTTTTATTTAAATTGCCATCAAATGTACAAACTACAAGTCTGTAAACTCTTTTTACATAATTTTGACGACTTTTTTTACTCGTTTATCAAAATTTGTATAAACAAAATTTTGTAGTAAAAATCGTTGGAAGATTGAAAATCTCTGATGTTTCTACTTTTTACCTATTCAATGAGTTTTTTCAATTTAAAGAAACGTCTCAAGTACAAAACCTGACAAGTGGAAAGTACAAAGAGCCATAAGGTGGAGAATATACTGAAGTGGAGTACTCGAGAATTCGTTGCCTCTGAAAATATAGAAAAAGAATCATTTACAGTTCTATAAACAATATATTATAATCACGTTTTATTTCTCACCATTAGTATCTCTCATTTCTTCCTCATTCTGTCTCATTCGAGCAAAGTCTTGAACAATTGCTTCAGACAAATCTTCTAAACGTTTTAGTTCTACTTCTGAAGGTTTCAGTTTAGCTGCTTCGCTTATCTATTTATAAAAACAAATGATTACTTATTAATTCCGCGAGAAATCTTTAGTTTGCCAAATCATTGTTAAGTACTCAAGAACTACAAAGAATAACAGATATTATACACTTCAAACATTAGAAATAGTACTTTTATTTAATTAATCAGGAAACAAATAAATACTGGAAATTCAATTATAATCTTCTCGATTATAGTGATAATGTTTTAAATAAGTGGCAATCTACAGCAGGTGATTTGCTACAAATGTGAGCAAAATTCTACTCTAAACACTTAATCAATCTCTCGCAGGTATTTTCAAAGTTCGCAATTCATTTTCGATTTCTGTAAAATGAATTGTTTATTGTAAGAACTTTTGAAATATCCTGGTAAATCAAATCATACTAAAACCCATGCTGTTAAAAGCTATATCAACCAATTTCTCTACATTACCATCTGTGCGCCCATACAAGTGATATATATAAAAAAAAAAAGATTAAGTATCATGAGATTGTTTTCCACAGTTGATAGAATAGATCAGGAATTAACAATCTACATAAGATGCACAGCCCATATAAGTATGTAATAGATTGCCAATTCCTGCCAATCATATAACAAATATGTTTTGTTTAAGCTTTATCTATCAGAAGCCTATTTGCTATTTCTTAATGTTTGTTGTTAAGTATTGTTAACATTTTATATGAAATAGGTTCCTCCAGATAAAGCATTGATATAAAACTAAATGTGCAGAATCAGAATGATCAAAGAATAAAAAAGTTAAGAAACAAGAGATGTTGCCTATAAAATAAATGTTCAACCATGAACTTACAAGTTCGTAATTCTTTGCTTCAATACCACGTTTTGTAATCAAGTGAACCTCTTGTTTGATATGTTTCATATCTGAAAGATAATATTTGTTGTAATTACAGGAATAAGAACTTTTACATTAAGCCACATCGTGCTTACTGTTCGAGTAATGGGGCTGTAAAACACGCGCCATGAAGCAAATTTCAAATTTATCATATGTCTCTAATACAAATGAGAATTTCAACATCTTTCCTTGAACTATGTTATCATTTTTACCGAGTACTTCGGACTTCGAATCACGGACCTATTAAAGATATAAAGTGTGAATTATTATATTAATAAAATTTATAGTTTTCGAAACACTAGACCAACAATGTGACATTTTAGTTTTCCATGGTATAGTAGATAAACTGAAAAAGATTGACATGAACGAAAATAGGTTAGTCGAACATAACCTCAATACCTTAAAAATATTAGATAAAATCAATGTTCCTTGCACACTTACGATATATTCAGTTTTAATACCCGGCGTTTCGGAGACCTCGTATTCTCCAGCAACCAAAACATGAGCTTGCGCTTCCTCTTTCAAACATTTCATCGAGTTTGGTTCAAGGTAGAATCTAATAGAATGTGCGTACGCAAACAGTGTAACGAGTACGAATAAAACGCTTTGCATGTTTGCAGGAATTTTTGCAACCACGTTGAACAATTTCGAATGACACTTGCGTGAATTAAATGAACGTTAAGAAAGAACCGTCAACATATTGATGAGTTGGCAACCATTAGATATTTTGGGCGGGTCACGTGATGTGTCGTACAACACGTGTACTCCATATTCCTATCGCAATTGTCAAATAGTTTTTACAACTTTTTATAATATTCATTTCGAATCAGTAGTCAGAGTTCATTCTACATTGTGAAAAGCAACCAAATTCACTGCATGAATTTACTTTTAAACAATGAATACATATGTAATTTATTTTGCATTTCTGAAATTTTAAAACTATGACCTAATACAATAGCAGCGTTAGCCACTGTATTTAGATCAAAATTATTTAATTACGATTCAAATAAAATATACTTTATCTTTAATCGTTATTCGAAGCGCATTTATTCATAGCGTCAAATAAAATTTTCATCTTTCATCTGTGTATTTGAAGACTTCGAATAACTTTCGCCAGTACATAAATACATAAGTACATAAATAGGGACTTATGGTTTATTACAAAATATATTTTATTATATCGTTTCAAATATATATATATATATATATTCTGTGATGATATATATGTATTTGTCGGCATCGTTTGTTGCTAGTTGGTAACAATTTAAATGTTTTGCTACAAGTGGCACCACTGTCGTCTATGTATGTCATCTCTATTGAAATGATTCTTGCTGGAATTTGCATGGTTTCTTATGGCAAAACATGGCAGAAACAGCTTCACTGTATCTGTTGCAAACCAAGTTCCTCGAGCTTGTCACACTTCAGTGTGTTTAGATTGCAACGAAATCGGCGCAAGTGACTCGGGGTGGGAGTAGTAGTGGGGATAGTATCTATGGTCCATATTACATGATGCGAACATTGTGGATCGTACACGATTCGGAACACAATACTAATACGTCACGTCAGATGGCGTACTATCAGTGCTATCCCCACTACTATTCCTATCCCAAGTTTTTTGCGCTGGTTTCCGATGTTTCCGTTGCAAACTAAGCTGATTGGAGCTGATCTGAGTTGATCTGAGCACTGAACACACAACGTATGACATATAGTCATACGAGTACACAACATCGCAACAAAGGAAAATATTATAATTATAAAAATATATATAATAATAGAAGACTTTATGCGATAACAATGTTTATTTTCCTAATTAATCTTTTATATAACTTTGTAAAGACATGTTGATGTTGTCATATGATGCAAGTCGGTGAAATGATAATTGAAAATAGTAAATAAGAGATTTTGCGATTTGAAAAACTTTTGAGACATGAGTGACTTATCGGAAGATGACAGTTCTGACAGTAGCAATGAGTTTCTAGTGAATCCAGAGAAAATTAATTTAAATTCTACCTTCTTCCAAGATAAACAACCTAAGATTAATTCTTATGCGCCAGAAAGCGATACCGGCGATGAGAGTTCTGAGGATGATGATCTTGAGAATGTTAATCAATCTAACAACATTGAGTTGTTCACTGAAGTTCTAAAAAATTTAGAAAGTACACAAAAGCTCGAACTCGAACTTAATGATGGTGATATTAAGGAGGAGCATACAATCTCAAACTCTTCAGTACCACAAAAGAAAAAGGGGAAGGTACAGATTAAAGAACTGGATGCTGCATCGTCTAATGAAATTACTGAACTATTGCTGCAGGGAGAGACCAATACAGATTGTTCCACTGAAAAGAAGCACAAACAAACAACTGTGAAGGAAGAAGACGATACAGAAAATGTAGAAGATATGCCAGAATACACGATTCCAAAGGATGGTGTTAAGATTATTCTGCCTGGCACTAGTATAATGCTAAAGAAAAAGAAAAAAGGGGGTCAGGATTTGAAAACAATTCTAAAAAAGCAATTGAGAACTAATCAGGTATATATTGAAAAAGTAGGTCTACTTTGTTGGCTAGCTTATGGATTCTATTTGAATAAACAAGCAAACGAACCTGAGGTGATGTCAACTGTATTATCTTTTATGACATCTGATAAGTATCCAAAAAATAGGATCGATCTCACATATTTGGAAAAATTTACAAAATGGTTTAAACATTTATTTACATTTGAAGTTGTTTCAACTAGCGATAATAAATGTATTAATAGAGAGAGTTTGTTAAAGGTATTACAGGCAAAGAAGATCTCTGATTACAGGGAGTTAGTAATATTGTACGTTGCCATGATGAGAGCTTTAGGCTTGCACTGCCGTCTAGTTATATCACTTTGCCCGCCACATAGAGCACTAAGCGACGATCCAATATTTAAACTTGATAGAAAGGATCAACAAAATAAGCCTAAGAGTAAATCAGGTAAAGCTAAGGAGAAAGCGAGCTCAAAATCAGACAAGAAAGAAATCTCTGAAATGACAAAAGTAATTCTGAATAGTCCAGAAGCAAAGAAAAATGCCAATATAGAAGCAAAGAAGAGAGCGGCAGAAGTTCTGCAATTGAAATCGCAAAACAAAGCAAAAAAAGGAAAATTAGGTGATACCAAAGAATGTAAAAGTACAAAAGAAGTGGCCAGAAATTCAAATGCTAATAAAAATGAATCCCAAACAACAAAAGAGGAGAAAAATATTTCAAATTTAAGGCAGCTGAGATCCAGGAGACTTAATCTTTCATCTGAAGATGATAAATCTCAGAAATCCATAGATTTAAGTTCGAAAAGTGACGGTACAAAGTCAAAGTATTACATAAACGAAGATTCCACAGATTCTGAAGAAGAATTTCAGCCAAAACCAAAAGTTGTAATAAAGAGGAAATCGAACGATGACAGTAATGGAAAGGAACAAAGCTCTAAGAGCAGCAAGAAAAGCAATAAAAAATTATTATCCAGTGATAGTGAAAGTGAAGATACAAATAATAAAAGAAATACACAAGATCTTTGGGCTGAAGTATATTTAGAATCAGAAGAAAGCTGGATAACTGCAAGTGTAATGGAAGAAAAGATTCATTGTGTGACAGAAGTATATGTAAGGAATTTGAGGATTAATTTGTCTTGACTTTTAAGTTTCTGTATAATGATACAATGCATATACTTCATTACAGAAAAAAGCGAAGAAACCTGTGCTGTATGTAGTAGCATGGAACTCCAACGGTTTGATAAAGGATGTGACAAGACGATACTGTCCGCATTGGCTTACAGTCACACGCAAACAACGTATTGATGAGAAATGGTGGTCGGAAGCATTGACTCCTTGGAAGGAAAAAGACACTGTCATTTCTAAAGCTGAAGACCAAATGCTTCTAGACAAGTATATTTCTCAAAATTCTCTACTAGAAATTCGTATTTTTCTATACTAAAATTATATTTGCTTGATAGGGAATTAGAGCAGCCATTACCTAAAACTATCGGCGAATGTAAAGGACATCCATTGTACGTTATCACAAGACATTTACTGAAATTCGAGGGATTGTACCCTCCAGATTGTGTACCATTAGGACATACTTCTACTGGTGAAGCCATTTACTCTCGGCACTGTGTACACACCCTTTGCTCAAGGGAAACATGGCTAAAACGAGCTCGAGTTGTAAAGCCAAAACAGGAAGCGTATAAAATAGTAAAAGCCCGTCCAAAATACGATAAGGTAGTTGTGATGCATGAAACAATGATGCAACATATATATATATATATATAATAAACAACAACATATATAAATATGTTTCAAGTAGCTGTCTGGAATGAAAATTAAGGATTCAGCTCTAGAATTATTTGGAGAATGGCAGACTACAGATTATGAGCCACCAGAAGCCAAGAATGGCATTGTGCCTCGGAATGAATATGGAAATGTGGACCTATTTAAACAATGCATGCTACCAAAAGGCACTGTACACATTAATCGTAAGTATCTTATTTATTGGGACTGTGGTAATATTTTAGCCACCAGAAATTTGTTAATGTGTTTTTTGATGACTGTTACATCTATAAGAAACATCACCGACATGTACTGACTAGCGTCAACAGTTCCAGGGTTGAATCGGATAGCTAGAAAGTTGAATATCGATTGTGCATCGGCTGTTGTGGGCTTTAACTTTGGATGCATGGGTGCAGTGCCAGCTCTCGAAGGATTCGTCGTTTGCGCAGAGTATGAGGACACTTTGAGAGAAGCGTGGGAAGCAGAACAAGTTGAAGCCGTCAAGCGGGCTCAAGAGAAACGCGATAAAAGGGTTTATGGGAATTGGAGAAAATTGATTCGAGGTTTGCTCATTAGAGAACGACTGGCTGCTAGGTACGATTTTTCGCAAGAAGCGGAATCAACGACGACGAACAAACGAACGAAACATAAAATGACGGATATAAAAAAAGCAAAATTTTCCTAAGAATCATGCACGTATTTGTAAAAAGTGGTTCTCAGCATATTACCTACTGAAAATCTGCTAAGAGGAATTTCAATAACTATATTATGTCAATTTTTTAATACACAATTGAAATTATGATTTAAAAACTGATGAATATTCATCGTGCCAGAACAATTGTCATCACTGATTGCAGGACGACGTATAATTAGCTCAAAGTTATGAAAAGTATGGCAGCATTCATACTATGTATTCGGTTTTTTTTGTCTTGAGTATGTAAAATATACAAAATTACGTTATGTGAATGTTAAATTATTATGTAAATTATTATAGTGAAACCGCGTGATTGTGTGAAGGAAATGTTTACTTCTGTTTTGTCGATTTCTTAATATTCTTTACTTTCTTACAAAACTAGAGAATATGATTTATGTAAGTATTATCGCATCCAAGAAAATGTGATACTTTATTCATTCTTAGAAATACTTAAATTATACATAATTGTTCGAACATTGTATATAAACAACAATTTTTGTACAATCGATAAATAAATTCATACACTTATAAAACTGTTATGGCCATAGTTTTGAATTTTATCGATGAATACCATCGATACGCAACATCGAGATGGAGCGTATATGTAATATCGATATTCTACGTAAAATTTAAATTTTGTGTATACATAACAGATCTGTTTGTTGTTGATTAAAGTCGATTTAATTAACCGCACTTTTATTCGACGATCATTCCAAATTATTAGTTTTGATATGGATCAAGAATGTAACACGTCTATGTATAATTGGTAAGTGTGCTTCTGCATTATGTTTAAAAATGAAAACGAAAGTGCAATAAGAGGTTAAGTTCTGTCCTTTTGAAAATTTAATTTGAAATTTAAACCTCGTAGGTTTGAAAAGTCTGGAATGATAGCAAATATAAGGACACATCTCCGTCAAAATTTAATTAATGCATTACGAAACAAGGACCTTAATTTGAAAACCGATCATCCGAAATCTGCAAAACAATACATCTACGATCTATTAATTGCTGAGTATTTATTCAATCACAATTATGCTTATACCTTGTCGGTGTTTGCCAGCGAGGCACCTTTGTTAATCAACTTCACTAATAAGACAGTTCAAAGGCCTGATGAAAATGAAGAACGTACAACTGAAAAATTACAGAATGATTACGTATTCCATGCATTGGAAACACTAGGCATTAATCCTCACGATACAAAGGGACAATATGTTTTATCACAATATATTGAAAGTGACATGCCACTTCTTCTATGTATATTAAAATGCATAACCATGTTTTCTTATAATATGCACAATAGTGTACCAATGAAAGAAAATGTGGCACTCTGCAATGAGTCTACGCAAACCACGTTTTCTTGGGTGTCTTATAACTCACACATAGAGAAACTACTCGCACTAAAGAAGAAAGTATGTCTGCATAAACAGATGGTCAATAATAAATTGTATAAGAGAGAAATGATGCTAAAAGAACAAGTATTGCTTGCTCAACAGAATATTGAAGTGTTAAATACTAAGCTGCAGCAAGTTCAGGTAACTAAAATCTTATCTTCATAATTAAACAATTTTTTATTATTAAATGCAATAATTTTTTCTAGAATGCTGTACATTCAATGAGTTTAAAGGAGAAAGAGTTAAAGAATGAAAGACAGAGCAATGAACAGAAAATTCTGCAGAAAGAAATGGAATTGGCATTGAAGGAGAGGCTGTTATTGCAAGAAGAAAATAGGTTTATATGCTCACAATGTTAACAATAATATATGAATTTTTAAGATTTCAAAGTATGTATTATTATTTACAGACTACAGAGAGAACAAAACGATCATATGAAACTGGAGGAGGATTTAAAACAACTACAAGAACAGAAGAAAATGGAAGAAGCGATTGCAAATCAAAGAGTCCAAAATATGGAGGTGCAAACGGACTTTGCAATTGAGGCTTCGCTAGAAGATAAGATCAAAGTTCTCACTAAAGAAAAAGAGGAATTAAATGCTCTTATACAGGACCAACAATTGAGAATAGAACAGATAACCCAACGTGCTCTTCAATTATCTCGACAAATAGAGGGAATTCGAGTTTTAAGGCCTGCTATCGAGGTTCCAACTCAAACGAACGGAAACACAGTTATTAGCGAATGCAGTTCGACAGAAGACATCCTTCAGGATGCGAAATTAAGATTGAAACGCTTGGAAGAAGAAAGTATGAAAGCAGATCAATATTACTACAATTTTATAAATAATTCGCCATAATATTAATTTACAGTAACTTATTAGCAATAAAGATTAAGCACATATGTACGATATACGTTATATTTGCACTATAATACGCATTGTATTAATTTATTTACAAAGTTGGTATATGTTTAGAGGTAATGCGAGATAATTGTAATAATTACTAGACAAAGCACAGTATTAAGAAAATTGATTTAATTTATTGGCATTGCTAATTATTATTTATTATAAATAACAAAGTATTGCTATTGTATATGTACAAATTTTCTAAACTGAATTGAACGTGTACCAAAGAATGCTTTTTGTTACCTAGTTTATTTTATAAAATTGGACGTCAATATAATATACAAATTATTCACTATTTTTCTTTATTATTTGAATTCTACCTTAATTACATGCAACACCAAACGTAGTATATAAAATGTTAAGTCAAATTTTTGTCCATAGTTGTACATCATCTTCGTTTGGGATCCGAACTTCTTCTAGTGTAGAGGAGTTAAGGAATGTTTCTAGTTTCTTTTACTGAATAATTCAATCGATTTATTTAATTAATTAGAAAAGGATATTGTTTGTCTCTGCCTTCGCGGCCCTCCCGTTCATGAGCACGTTCCTTTGTGTAGGGAGACTTTTCCTGAAAATACATTTTCATATGAATCTTCTGAGTGTCATGGGTCCCTGCAAATGGCGTTTGGGTACTTGATAGTATCACCTATTTTTTCTGGTCTTTGCTATTGTCTCCCATTTCGTCTTTTCAATGTACTCGAAGCGGACGTCTTTATCAACTAAGGGGTCAAGGAATAGTGTTAGAAATTACGATTCAGTTAATTGATGATAGAATGTCAGGATAAATGTATAAAACTGTGATGCGATAAGGATTTACATAAACAGTGTGATTACGTGAGTTGTACGTGTGTATTCTCATTGATCAGGGTCGTAATTTTTGTCTAATCCTATGCTATGCTCTGTTATGCATGAAAACTCTAGGGAGTACAACTAATGACCTATTCATTTTCGCCAGTGACGATGAAAAACAACTCTATTCGACTACAGAAGAAATTATTTAAAAAAATATTACTTTCCTCATATATTCGAATTAATATATTCAGATGACTATTGATTACTTTCAAGACTCAATTCGTTTCATTTTCTTTGTTTTGAAATAATGGAAGATTTTAACTGGAATTACCGACCTTATTATAATGATGTTTTTCTCTATGTTCAGGCATATCGCCATTTTGGTGTGCTCCTTTCGCTGCAGATAATTTCATTGTTTATAAAAAGTATTTTTCGATAGATTGATCATACCGAATAAAATCTAGTTACCTCTTTCGTCATCTTTTCTTCTCTTTTGTTCAGTCGTAACTGTAGATTCGTCCGCTCTGTCCTGCTTTATTAAATAAAATAAATAATAGTATACTACCAACGTACTAAATGTTAAATATAATTTAACATAGATTAATTAATACAAATAACGTACCCTTTTTCGTCCCACTTTCTTCTCTCTACGTAGTTCTTTCTGTTCGTCTCTTATTTTGCTTTTGCTTGAACGTTCCTTTTTGTCCAAATTGCTTTCCGCGCGTCTCCCTTCCTATTAATAGAAAATAAATCTAGAACATTCTACAAAAAATGAATCTAAAAAACGAAAATTCTCACCTTTTGCATGTTTTCAATTTTTCTTCTTTTGGCATCTGAAATTAGACATTACCAGTATCATCAAGTACAACGTAGATGCACTAAATTATTATACGTATATAATTTTTACAATATTTCAATGCAAACCTCTGTCAGATCCATCTTGGGTTGGTCCTGAGCTGGCACTGCTATTCGATACACTAGAAAGATCTCGATCTAAATTGTCTACACCACTACTGTAATAATGTTCTTCCTGCAATCAACAGTTTACAATTTATATTTATTGCAAAACTAAACAATGATTTGTATAAAATATGAAATTACTTTGTAGTATTTACGATCCTTTTTATCCATAGGATCTTCTTCCTTAACTTCCTCTTTCTTCACATGCTTATCTTTTCCCTCTGCACTGTCTTTACTTTCCTCCTTTTTTCTGATTTTCTCAGAACTTTCGCTACATTAAAAAGGAATGATACAAAAATTTGGTACAAATATCCACTAATGTGAAGTTGAACATGAAACCTACTGGTACAGTTGATTCGATGCACTTCTTTTCTCACGTTGGTCTTTATTTTCCTTTTCTATCCGCGTGTCGCCATTGGTGATCTCTTTATTCGATATTCCATCACCTACTTTCTCTGTTGTGTCACTGTTTTGACTATCTTGTGTCTTTCCAGCCTATAGAAGAAACGTATTATTTTATATTTAGACTTTACAAAATGTTTCAAGTGTAATTACTTTGTCTCCAACATGATGAAAGTCTGCTTCCCGAATCATATTGGGAGTTTTAGCTTTCAATTGGCCACTGTATGACGTAGCCAGGACATGGAGGTCCTGTCGTTGCCCACGCTCTTCCTCCCTCACCTTTTCTACCTTACGTTCTAGGATTTGGGATAACTTTGCCAGCACGGGAAAGTGCGGCAATATTTTTATCAATATTATTAAAGAATTTCTTATTTGTACATAGTCCTTGGAATCGAGACAAACTACAATAGCCTACAACAATAGATCGTGTTAACTTTAAAATTCATCATCTTTTTCAAGAATAATATACTAGCCAGATGATACCTTCGTAATCTTGTAATGCCATTTGTGGCATACATGTCTGTAATTTTCAAATCCTACCATGTCATTCGCTTCAGAAAATTGATTGCTAACTCGAAACTTTGTTACAAATCCCGGATAATTACTACACTCCTGAAAATACAACAAACATATATTAAATACATCTAGCGGTTTAAAGCAGCAGATACGGAATGTACCTTATCGAAAATTGCTTTCTCGGAATGCCATCTCATTACGGTCTCCAGCATGGCGCACAAAAATCTCCCATAACGATTCGCTTCATTTTCGGTGCATGAGGTAACTGAATATGTTATATCACAGAAAAGCTGGAAGATTTAATTATGATTGAAGGAACGCCTCTTCGTTTTTCTCATTACATATGTATACTACTCACTCTGTCGTAGCATAGAAGCGTTGAAAAATTCGCAGTCTTTAAAGAATGTATGGTGTGCACGAATTTTGCACAGTACATGGCATCCACAGTGGTAAATGTACATCGGGGAAACAAACACAATTGTAAGAATTGTGTTATTGTTTCATTTTTCGCCGATTTGGCACTCCGCGATAAGAACCACGTATCTTTTTCTTGTCTAATAAGAATTTAAATTTTTAATACCATAATCAGTTTATGCAACTATCCTTATCGATGCTAAAATTTACCTGAGATATGCAAACACCTTTTCAACATGTTCTTCTTGCTTTTTCTTTTCATCTTGCAGTTTCTCAATTAATGTGCTACACCTTTCCTGCTCCTTTTTCCCTTTACTAACATTCTGCGAGAACAATTTATTTATCAGAAACTTAAACAATTTAGAAACTAATATCAAGCTGTTAGTATCAGGTACAACATACCACATCTTTGGAATCAGCACTCTGTGCTGCAAGTTGCTTCAATTTATTAATTTCTCGTTGATAGCTTTCGACAGGAACGTATAAATCGTACATGGAGAGGGACCAAAACGTCACTAGAAATTGAGGAGAAATATCCTCCCAGACCTTCAGGGGATGCAAAGGTCTAACGGACTGAGCAACAGGCGCCATTACTGCTTGCGCGGCTTCCGCATACTTCGTTTGCTTCACCGCAGTAGACATTTTCTTGTAATTGGGGTCGGATTTACGCAGGGCGTCATATTTAATCTAGAAACATGTTGTTCGTTCTAACATTTTGACGATAAAAACTAGATCTAATTTAGAAGAATAAATATGATTTACGTTAATGGCATGTGCAAACATTGGTCTCGCGAGGAAAAATGCAACATCAGAATGTATGTGATTGTCCTGGAGCATAGAATGTATGGAAGGAAGTCTCTCCACATATTCGTCTACTGTCATCGTAGAACCCAAGAATGTTCCGAATTGAACTAACGTATCTTGGCACTGATCGTATAATTTTCCTATAATTTTTCAACGGATTACATCTCATTAATGTTCATAGAAAAATTACAGGAAGAAGATTCTATAAAAGAAATATTTACCAACAAGTTTGAGATGAGATTTATCTGTTTCCCTATACACAACACAATGTTTCTGCTGTGCCATTAATAAGCACAATGCCACTGCTAGGTCATGCTCAGCAAGAGCTTCTTTCAACCGCTGCGAAGACTTTTTCGTATTACGTACTTGGCTGAAGTAACCAGCCTGTAAATAATAATTCATTAAACAATATATTATCTTATGTAGTACACGACTAACGATAGTACACGACTATCTACTAAATACATATTATAAATTACCTCATTTTTCAATAAGTCTCCACCTGCCATAGCATCCAGTTGATCAGAAGTCATTTCTTCGGCAGCTTCGATACCTGCCATCTTTTGTACTATTTCCTTCAGTATTAACAAATCTAAGCTGAAAACAGGAATACAAAGCCGGACTTTTGATACAATACTCAATTGTAGAATTCATTTATAAACTCAATAGAGAAATGTGAATTATCAACTAAAAATCATGCCAATTTTTACAGTGTACCTTTTTTGTGCCTTGAGTTGGTTAGCCACATACTGCAGCAAACCAGTGAGTTCGATATTATACTTTTTGAATATAGCTCCACAGAACGAAGCGAGGGATTGGAGCCAAAGAGATATGCTCGTGCCATCGTGCTTGAACCTATCTCGGTCAGCACCAGCCAGTGCTTCCACGAGACAGTAGCCAAGTACGTCATATGAAATATTCGTCAAATATTTTAAAGAATCTACAACGGGACCTATAACATATCCAGTGATTGAACGTAGTTAAATGCTTTCTAACATGTATCATTGCTAACATACCTATAAGATTATCATATAGCTGAATCTGTATAAGAACATAATCGAATAATACACCAGGAGAAGAGTGTGTCAGTTTGCCTATCGACCTTCCAACGGGTTTAATAGTCTCTTTGCTCACTCTCTTCATGATAGATTTGATTTTCTTTTGCGCGTCTGCTCTTTTCCTTAGAAGAGCAGCGTGTTGTAGAGGCGTGTCGTTCTTCCAACGTGCGTATAAGCAGTATCGGTTCTGATATGGATAATATTTCAAAATGTTCCACAATTCTTCCGCAACACAACAGTTACAGTCCATGAAGGATAAGGAGGGCAACAACGCTACGTCGAGTATAGTTAGTACATCGTAATAGAGATTATTATTCTTCTCAGCAGGCTGTTTGTTCGAGTCTAACGGACACTGCCTTATAGTTGCGTGACACAACCTCATGATCTTGTACATCAAAACCGGATCATGGTGTAAATTGGGACCGAGGACTATGAGCATTGGCAACAACTGATCATGTATTTCTTCAAGGTCTTCTACTGGTTTTGGAGCGAGAGAACTCTTCAAGGGAGGAATTCTTCTACCTTGCAATTTCGGTGATATGATACAATGCCTGGAATACAATGCAATAGCACACTACCTAATTTGATTTCGGGAGTGTACAAGGTAAACCACGAATTCGATCAAATCTAACAGTTTCATACTTATTGTAGAAAAGATCCTTTGCTTAGATTAACAAAGAAAATAACAGAAATGGTTACGTTGCACGGTTTACCCTGTACATTTTAATAATTATTGCAAGACATACTTGCGATAAACGGGTTCGATAAGAGATTGAATCATTTTGCACAGTGCCAACGCGATCGGACGCTGATCTGTGAGACTGTGTTCTGGTAATCTATTAAACAGGTTTTGTGCAACCTCCCAAGCCCCTATTTCCAACAGCGCCTCGCATAATCCGTACTTTTGATTACTCGCGTACTTATCCTATTGAAAGACACGTAATTAAAATTCTTCATTGATATCTTTGATATCATTGATATCTTCCATATGGATATGAACTCATACCTGTGGATTCTCTTTTTCTTCGGGTACATCTTCCTTGTCTTTAGTAGAAATTACGCTTAACTTCCGAACATACTCTTTTGCTTGTTTCATTGCCTGTTCGTGCTCTTTGATAATCGTTCTATCATCTGGCACTAACCATGGCAATATATCATCCAATTTAATAACACCATGTTGTAACATGAGTGCAGTGACTTTTTGCAATGAAAACGGAGTGGTATTGACGGTAGAACAATATTTAAATCCTAAAACTTCACAGAGTACTTGTTGGTCACTCATATATGAACGAATCAAAGGAATAAATAGTGCATCATCTTGAGGTCGATTCTCAAATGTTTCCAGTAAAATATCAAGTACTCTGTTAGGGTCTAAATTAAAATAGCCTGTAAAAATGGTATAAATTTGATTATACACATTGTTGATATTATAATATAAACTGTGTAGACGAGAGTTAAGGTTTTACAAACGTACCGATAAGAGATTTAACAATTTCCAATATCGTTGGTACTTCGCATTCTGGACGTTCCTGATTTAATTCCACTATAAGTTTAGAGTACCCTTCGCTTTCTTCCCTAAATAAATTAAATTTCCGTTGCTTATAGCTGCAGAAAGAAAAATATACAAATATTACACAAGTCTTCTCTCATCGAAATTTAGTACAGTATATTGAGTGAGAAAATAAAATAAATACATACTATAATTTTGTCTTCACTTTAATGAATTTGGTTTGGAAACTTTTATTCTTTAATGTTCCTACATCTTGCAACGTATCAATTTCTAAACGTTCCTTTAATATCCTATCTGTTAGAAACTGTGCAAAAAGCAAATGACATAAATTATGCCATTAGGACATTGTGTTTGGTTTTAATTGATTGTAAATATTTCAATCACGTTTACTGTTATCCTATAAAATGATACCTTTTCAGATTCTTTCACAATGTAATAAAAATTATTTCTTTCTTCATTATGTGCTTCTGCATCTATTAGTGTAAATATATCTACTATCGCAGATGGTATCGCTCCATCAATATTCTGAAAATAGATATAATTGTACAATAAATTATATTTAATTTTTATAACAATATCCGCAGAATCTTAATTAGGATATCAGCTTACCATGAGTTCACCTAATGTCTGGATTACACTGTCCCTTTTTATGTTCCCATGGATTCCATTCGATATTAATTCGTACAATCCTCTTCTCCATTCTAGAATTAAACATAAACCACACATAAAAATGTAAAACATAATAGAAAATTTACATCTGTCTTATATCCATATTGTTTTATACAATTTTTAAGGTACAAACGATAACTAACAATAGTTAATAAGAATGATTTACATTTACATTTATAATTATTAGAACAAATATCATAATGTAGTGCTTGTGCAATCTAAATATAAGATTTATTGATTCTTTGCTCTAGATATGAATAACAAATATATTAAGTGATATGTTATTGAGTTTATAGGAGCAAGAAACGATTAATAACTCTGAAAACACAAAAACGACAGACTTTAATGTGTATAAACAGATCCACAGTGTTGGGACACACAGCAAGCTGGCTAGGGTCAAATGATGGAATAAAGACTCACCTGTGGCGTTGCCTTCCTTAAATTTGTGCTTGATTAACTTGAGGCTGCAAACAGTCGTTAATTGACAATTAACTCTTCAGAAGAGCGAGAAACAGGAGAGATAAGTTGCAACCATCAATTGCACAGAGTATGCAGAGTATCAATTCAATATTAATCGAACGCACTTCTGACGTTAACGCGTTAACCACTTACAAATCATTTTTCCCATGTTTATCCCATGCTTTCCATATTTCTGAATTCCACACTTTACCAGCCATTTTAATTCCATGAAAAGCTTTTTAATGATTAAAAACAATCGTATCAACATCACAGGTTAATAGACTCCATTTTCCGCCATTGCAAGCGTCCTCGAAGCTATCGTGGCGCGATCTTCTTTACGACATATGTACAATATGTCTAGCATGGTAATCTCAATAACAAAATCTGTACCTACCGCTGAATTCACAAAGCATTTAATCATCAAATATTTTTACAGAATATTTTTACAGAAATAATTATGTTTCGTTGATCAAACTCCTTAATATCTACGCAAAATAGATACAAAATCTAGTCGTTTTAAAAACATTTCAAATAACTTATTAGAGGCAACACTGTCGGATGGGAGTTTGGGATTCTGAAAATCAAAACTTTCGCTTCTATAAAAATGTTTTGTATTCAATGGTTGCTAAGGCTGTTTTCATATATCCTACTATATTGCTTAAAAAAACGTTACATGTAAAATAGTTAAGCAATTAAATAGTATTACCCTACAATATTCTATATTGTAAAGATAATATGCACATATTTTTATGTGATAAACATAGTCAGTACAGTATAATACGGAAGCGATGAGTTTTGGAACACTATGAACTTAGATTCTTTTCCGGCGAGCAAATCTTTCGAGAGGTAATGTCAAAATCACGGGGAGGAGAATCGTGAAACATCTGGATGTGAATTGTCCTATACGAACAAGTTTCGTTACAATTACGTTAATTATTTGTTATATGATCATATCATTTCAATATTTTTATTTAAGGATATCCTGTTTTCCATATTAAATATCCATGAGTTGAATGTTGTTTTATTTACTGTTTTACCTGTCAACATAACACGTATCAATTAAACATCATCTAACATTGTACCGAAATGATATTTTCATTCTATATAAAATGTAATCTTAAAATTCAAACTACATATTTCATTTTTTCGTTCTCGTTTTTTATAACTTTACTTCATTTGATAGGTCACATCATGTTGTACCATCAGGAAGTTAAAGAACTTTCTTTTCCAGGGCAAAATGACCAAGACAACAGAGAACAAGGGAATGAGCACTATCAACGAGGTAGTGACTCGTGAATACACGGTGAATCTTCACAAACGTCTTCATGGTGTTGGATTTAAAAAGCGTGCTCCACGAGCAATTAAGGAGATACGTAAGTTTGCTGAGAAACAAATGAGTACTCCAGATGTAAGAATTGACACACGTCTCAATAAGCAATTATGGTCTAAAGGAATTAGGTAATTATTACAGTTTGATGTGGAAACTGAAATATATACATATCATCTTAAATGCTAATTAAACGATCTTGTTCTCCAGAAATGTACCGTTCAGAGTTCGTGTACGATTAAGCAGAAGAAGGAATGATGATGAAGATTCCCCTAACAAATTGTACACTCTTGTCACATACATACCAGTTGCTACATTCAAAGGTCTACAAACAGAGAATGTTGATGCTAGTCAAGACTGAATTGTTTCGAAATAAATAATTTTCACCAATTCCTGCCAATGCATTGCTCTTGAAACCTTCACATTGTATTTGACTTCTCTAATTTATTGCTATTGAGTTACCCTAATAAAAATTATTAATATTTTGAGTATATAAAAAGTTATTCTGCTATATTTAGTTTCATACAAATTTAAATGAAAGAAATGTTCCAATTGAAACCGATGCGTATCGATCCATCCGCAAACATATCCATTTCTTACATAAAATATCCCTAGAGTGTGAATGTTGCGATTTCCCTAGATCTAGAAAATTTGTATGCAGTATATGGTAATCGTGAAAAAATGCTGATGTTCTGCATTCAATGATCGTTAAGGCTGTTTCCACATATCCTACTTTATTGCTTTAAAAAACGTTTATTTATAATATTATAATTTATGTAAAATAGTTAATAAATTAAATAGCATTACCCTACAATATTCTATATTGTAAATGTACTGTGCACATATTTTTATGTGATAAACATAGCCAATACAATATAATACGGAAACGATGAGTTTTGGAACACTATGAACTTATATTCTTTTACGGCGAGCTATTCTTACGACAGGTAATGTCAAAATCACGGAAAATAGAATCGTGAAACATCCGGCTGTGAATTGACATATATGAACAAATTTCGGTATAATTACGTTAATTATTTGTTATATGATCGTACCGTTTCAATATTTTTATTTAAGGATATCCTATTTTTCATGTTAAATATCCACGAGTTGAATATTGTTTTGTTTACTGTTTTACCTGTTATCATTTGAACATCATCTAATATTGTACCGAAATGATATTTTCACTCTATACAAAATGTGATTTTAAAATTCAAACTACATATTTCATTTTTTTTCTGTTCTTGTTTTTTTATAACTTTACTTGATAGGTTACGTCATGCTGTACCATCAGGATGTTAAAGAACTTTGTTTTCCAGGGCAAAATGACCAAGACAACAGAGAACAAGGGAATGAGCGCTATCAACGAGGTAGTGACTCGTGAATACACGGTGAATCTTCACAAACGTCTTCATGGTGTTGGATTTAAAAAGCGTGCTCCACGAGCAATTAAGGAGATACGTAAGTTTGCTGAGAAACAAATGGGTACTCCAGATGTAAGAATTGACACACGTCTTAATAAGCAATTATGGTCTAAAGGAATTAGGTAATTATTACAGTTTAATGTGGATACTGAAATATATACATATCATCTTAAATGCTAATTAAACGATCTTGTTCTCCAGAAATGTACCGTTCAGAGTTCGTGTACGATTAAGCAGGAGAAGGAATGATGATGAAGATTCCCCTAACAAATTGTACACTCTTGTCACATACATACCAGTTGCTACATTCAAAGGTCTACAAACAGAGAATGTTGATGCTAGTCAAGACTGAATTGTTTTGAAATAAATAATTTTCACCAATTCCTGCCAATGCATTACTCTTGAAACCTTCACATTATATTTTATTCTTCACTGATTTACTGCTATTGAGTTACCCTAACCAAAATTATTGATATCTTGTGTATTTGTTCTACAAAAAATTGTTTTGCTTTATTTAGTTTCATACAAATTTAAATGAAAAAAATGTTCCAATTGAAACTGATGCGTATCGATTGCATATCCATCTCGCAAGCAACATACACATTTCTCACATAAAATATCCCTAGATTGTCAGCGTTGCGATTTGCCTAGATCTAGAAAATTTATATACAGTGTGTGGTAATCATGACTAGTGAAAAAATGCTATCATACTCGACTACCTTTAAGAAAGTTTATTATTCGTATGGATCTTGGCATTACGATAGTGCGTTACGGCTCGAATAGTAGAAATTTGGAAATAGAGGCTGTAAGAGTAAGTAACAATAAACGATCATTCGAACGGTCGCTGATAATATTGTTTTTCGTAACGATAACGAGAGTTTTATATCGAGATCACGGACTTCTCTTTGTTTATACGCACGGGAACGACGACGAGGGGTCCCTAATCTTTTATTAAAACGCCGAGCGTAAATTTATTTATTCTCCTTGGCCTTTGTACGCGACTATCTGTCCCATTTTTTTAAGTACACGTTATTGGATGGCATCGGACTTTATCGGGCTGCTCGTGACGGTTTTATTTTGTGGTTGTCGCGTGTTTGTATAAGAGAAGCGTCATCGCGTCACATCGCCGAGGTTACATTTGCATTGAATAGCGTTAACGAAGGGAACGAAATCGTCAGGGCTCATTGTTTATTGTAGCATGCAAAAAGAGTGGTTCGCACGTGCGTTAATTATTCGGTTTCCCGTGAGAGAGAATTCGCGATTCCGCTCCCTGACTCTCGGGCCGCATCAATTATACTAACAAAGGACTACGATTGGAATAAGTGCATTTAAAAAATTTCAATTCAGTGCAAAACGAAGCGAGTAATGAGTATGAACAAATCTGACGTTGTTAGCCACGGATACATCCCGTTTTCATAAAGTAGAATTTTCAATATAGAACTTTCGAAGGTATTGTAATGTAGTCTGTAATTATATAAAGCGGTTCTCAATTGTAACAGTAACCGACGTGGACCTTGAACTGCAACCTATGCAGTAAACACGACTATAAATAAACTGAAATAGTAGAATTATAACAAATATATATGTTAACGGCGTATCGCCCAATACAGTTAACATATATACGTATGCAGTTTTATTTTATTTTTCACGTGACAGGATATCAAAAGAATAATGTCAGAAAGAGATATAAACAGTGATTTAAGATCAAAAAGTTTCAATTATCATTACAATTGAGAACTGTTGCTCATGAAATTTAAGGGGTTAGGATGCTGTAAAAGACCATGAAAGATAAACTATTCTTTAATGAAAAATATAGAAAAGTATATGCACGATTAATGTAAGTTTTAGTACTTTCTTTGAGTTTATATTACAGTTAAAATTGCTATATTCAAAAGAGTATGATTCTGAGAAATAGGGTTAATTAATGTTCTACTCTTTTAAACATTGGTCATGTCACTGGTTTCTTTGAAAATTGACAAAGTTGCAAATATTTTACTTAAATCAGTGTATAAGTAAAAATAACATCTTAATTTTTTACGATTGTACAGTATTCGAATCCCTTAATTTATTATTACGAAACCTATATCTTTTCAAATGTTGTAGTTAATTTTTTAAGAACTTTTTTAACAAACATTTTTATAACACTTGTAAAAAGAATATGATTTATTTGTACTCGATATTGCTTCTATTTTATATTGAGTTCGGATTAGCGGAAATGAACAGGGACCGCTGAGTATCGTTAAACCGGGGAATTTAAAAAAGCGGCAGTTAACATTCCGCGCTTGTAATAACCCGGATCTTCTTCTCGGCTCGATTAGTCAATGGTTATTTGTGGAATTTGTTCCTTCTCCTCTTTCGAACTAATCTCATCTTAATTAATTCTTTTGTAATGCTCATAATCACACTCAGATTGTGAAAGGAATGCCGTTTACGTAATTCCTTATTTGTACTTAGTTGCTTTTGTATCAATTCAGTTAGATGACTATATTGACTGTAATAAAGCGAAAGGAAATATATCATTTTAGTTTCATGTACTGTAATTTTTATTTTCTGAAATGCGCGCGATTTTTGAACGGTTATATCCGCGATAAAATTTTAGTTTCAAATTGCGCAATTATTTCATTTGTAATATGTGCATGTTAATCTATGGGATAATAAAGATTTGTAGATATACATATAGTTTTTGTATAATACTATGTATTTCTCGTATATATTCTTCAATCCTTCCTCATCCTAATTTTCCTATTTTTAAATTAATTTATTAATCGTCTGCCCGATAACATTTCTCATTAATAATTGTATATTTTTCCTCCTATAAAACTATAAGTTAGGCAAAGGCTACTAATATATACTTTAGAATTTCTCATAAATACTCGTTCACATAATTTAACATCTTTTTACATTTTTCACTATCAATCTCTTTAAAATGTTAGGTAGTTTTATAATGGAAGGAGGTGGGGTACTTACTGCAGAACGTAGCCCAGCACGTGCAAATCTGCATGTGGCATTCACTGAAAAAGGGGAAGTGAAGGAGCGTCGAGAAAAATTCTTGACAGCTAAATATGGGTCTCATCAGATGTCCCTTATTCGCAAAAGACTAGCGGTGGAAATGTGGTTGTTTGATGAGCTAGAAAAATTATATGATTCTGTTGTGAGTTTTGATTTCAAATATTGTTCTCTCCAATCTTCTTCCTTTTCTTAATTATATTAATATAGAAAATATTTTTTATTTATAGAATGATAGTGGTAAAAATCGAGAAGTTGAAATTGACATAGATGAACTTCTTGATATGGACAGTGATGATCACAGACGGAGATTTTTGCAAGTAAGTAAATTATCAAATTCTAGCAATACTATCATTTGTTTTGAAATGATTATTAACCGTATTTCGAATTTATTTTTTGCAGGAATTATTGGTCGACACAAAAAAGCCACCACATGATATAAATGTAAGTAACATGCAATTGTGATTTATTTCATAGTATAACATCTATTTGGTGATTCACTATTATAATAATATTCCATTCTGTAGAATTTAATGTTGTGTGACTAATATTGCAATTTTCAAGCAAATCAAGTTTAAGTGTGGTTGTTTTCTCCACAGAGAGATAATGTCCTTTCACGTACTAGTAACTGTTACTAACACAGGCCGTTTATATGTTTCAGAAATTCATTAATGATTTACTTGAAAAAGCTAAAACACTTTGAAGAACTTTTGCGTTCTTCTTAACACTTACGTGTTTGCAAGGACTTTTTTGAAGCATTAACAAATTTGCTCAGATTTGGAACGAGTCAAAGACATATTCAAGCCTTAACGAGTTGCACGAGCATATGCAACTCAAATGCCAATTTATCATTACTTGGATAGAACTTAATGGGGAAAACATCAAATGACTCTGCACATTTTTATTCTAGCGTGTATTATTTCATATTGAAATCGTAAGCATTAGTATCTGACTTATCTCAGTACAACGGCTAACTTTGTTAGTTATTTGTGTGCGCATCGCATATCAAGTAATAAACCTCACAGTACACAAACTGCCTTGCTGTACGATCCATCCAATGTGATGTATAGTAGAAAAGTTTGTTCTTCTACACTCTAGTTTTGTATGCCTCCTATACTCCATCATTCGTAGTAATATTTATGTTAGTAAGGATTATTAACTAATGATACTTCCAAACGTTGTACCAAATGATTTCTATGCATATCCTATGTTTATTGAATTAATCCCAACCAAGAATCTGATTGGGTTTAAACACAGTTAATGTTCTTTTTTTATGTTGTAGTATAATAAAGTAACACATGTTTATTTATTTTAGAAAATACTTTAAGGAAGTAAAAAAAGTAACTATACAAAATTTCGCATTGAATGCTTGTTCGAATTGAAGAAGAAAAATCTGTTTGATAATGCGACATAAGTGTGTGTGTTTCAAATAATTTTGTCACCGGCATAGTCATAATTAAAACGTGGAAATGACACCTATCGTTGCTCCAGTACCAAATCAGTATTGAAAATTATTGCAAAATAGAAATATCTCTCCAGTAAGTTTTTTAATGGTTAGTTGAAATTTCGTAATTTTTAATACTGTTTAAATTTCAGAATTCTTGTTAAGTCGTTAAAAATAAAACAAAGAAATCAAAGTAGAAACATTCCTAAATTTAAAAGGTTATTGAAATTGTAAAAAATTTTAAATTCTATGATCTATTAAAACTTTTTAATTACTTTGTTACTTATATAATCATGTTATTAATTTCAAGATATTAAATTTCTATTTATATGCGTGTTATACTTTTTTAAATTATAAAATCTATCATTTTAACGAAACTGTTCAGAATGCCCCGAAAAAACGAATTCGTGGGTCTTCTATTTTTATGGCCTTGTTTCAATAAAATGGGCAAAGAAAAACATTGATGTATTAGATAATGTAACACTGTTATTTGTGGTATGCATATCCATTGTCTCGACACAGCGCAATTATAGGTGACATTTATACGCTTTATTCACAGTCATTTAATACACAAGCTATTATTTGAAATGTATCCATAGTCATGTAAAAGAGGAAGGAAATTGAATTTAACAATACTTCTTCCTTAGTACGGATCTCTTGCACTGATGTGTCTCGCATTATTACTTAACATTGTACCAAAAAGACTGCACAAATGGAATTTACCTTCCTCTTGAACCTAGATGCGTACAGAAATTACAAAAAACAAGATTCCAAGATGGATATACATCTTTAACGAACACAGTACATACATAGTGTCAGATGTTGAATGAAGTAAAAACTCAACGAAAACATGACACGCGAACGAAGAAGATTTGTCTTTACGTTTGATAGAATACAAAGCAATACCCAAAATGTGATCACTTCAACGATATGTCTTCGTAAAACACAAAGAAACCGTTCAAGGCTATGTGCTACCTCGTTCTGCAAAATAAGTGTACGATCTCTGTAGTGTTATTAATCCCCAGTTAACACGTTGGCTGCTATATCACTAGCGTACGAATGGCACAGCTTTTTGCTGCATAGTTGTATTTAACATTTGGATCATAGTCATATTTTCATATGAAAGTGTGTTACCACATTGTGGGAGGCAAGAAAGTATGAGAAACTATTTTATTACATGCTGCGTGACCTAACAAGGGTTCAGGCTGAAAGAAAAATTTTATCTAACAAAATAGTAAGAAGTTGAAAACCATGACAAATCCTGGGTTATGCGATTACCAGTTTGCCAACAAAGATTTGGCCCAGCAGAAGGTTCTATGGTTTTACGATATGGCAGTCAGCGTGTTAAGAAGATGGAAGAAACATGGTAACAGTTTTATCCAAGCAAGGACTACTAGTGAAATGTATGAACCATGATTATTTACAAGATATTACGGTGTACAGAGATTCATCTGTCATTCATCGATCAAACATCATTTGATGTGGCAAATTGATGGTCTTTGTGGATTTGTCACGAGCATAGGAAAATGTGTCTAGGCTACCCTTTCTACCCTCCGACTTCCATATGATTTAAGCGAATAATGTCTAATTCAAAATGAACCGTTCAACTCGTCTCGTCACCCGCATGTATATTTAAAACTTTATACGATGAAATATATGTGGATGTGTAATTAAGATTAGGAATAAATGTATACAATAAACCTTGATCTCATGCATGCAATCTGCGGCGTACTCGCTCCAATCAAACAGGTCAATAATAGTAACAATAATAATAATGCTAACAATAATACACTGTGAAATGACTCTTGGACGATTACGCCAGAACTTAATCAGAGTTTATTGTATTAGAAACGATACAATCAATCTGTGCACTTGTGATTTAGTGTCGTATAAGATTCGGCGACCATTCGACGTTCATCGAATCAAGATTATGAGGTTTTTAAATTTTATCGCTAGAGTCGATGTCGCTATTGGATCGTTTCTTTCGTGGCATTATGCGGTGCGCGTTAAGTTAGTGCATATGAAATGTCACCTATTTTATAATAATAATCAATTAGATTCAAAATTGAAAATGTGAGTCGTGAAATACTATGGACTTCTACAGAAATTTTATTTATTAAATCCAACAGAGTTTTAAATAAAACAAAGTGACATTTCACATACACAGACATTTGAAGGAAAAATGTGTGATCAATGCTTTACGTGTAATGCTCGTCGGTATGTGAAGAGGATGTTTCGTAATATCATTATCGCTTAGTGTCTTGATGGAAGAAAAAAAATAGAAAAAGCGTAGGAGTTTATCGAACGGTGCACTTCAAGTTTATTTTCACAGTGAATCATTTGCAAGAAATGGAAAATATTTAACGTCGTGTGAAGGAGACTAAAGGAACAAGTGAGAGTGTAATATCCTATTCCATCGGTATTTCCCATCCCGTGTGAATGCATGGAATGTTAAAGTTGTAATACCGTATCAGATTAATCCATAATATTCTTAAGTAAGGGAGATGTGAGAAAAAAGCACTTTTACACCGACTGCAAAATGAAATTACCGGTATTCGCGGCGCAATTTTGGAAAACTGAGAAAAAAACAGATCAATGTGAGATTCGTAGCGAATTTAAGATGCTCCTGTTCCCGACGTTTGAAATTGGCAGTATTGCCAAAACAATATTTTGCATCATGTACTGATTATGTAAGAAATTGTATTTACTTGCACAAACAAAATAAGAATTGGATAACTGAAAATCGACGTTCGTTCCTTTATATTTGCCTTTATTTTATATTCGTTCCTAATTGAAGATTACTAAAAATGAAACTTCGTTGTATAAAATTTCCTCAACTTTCATAATTTCAGTCATAGTACAAATTACAATTTTGTTAATGTCCGTAACAAATAAAATTACAAAATGTTTGGCACATTCTCGAGTCCGTTTTTTCTTGAACTAAGCAAAAATAATAATCCTCTGTTGTTTTTCTTATAAACAAAATATTCGTTCATTTTCATGGGATGTAGCGCGAAACTATTTCAGCGAGTTATATTAAAGATTTATTCATTATATTGTACAGAATTTCATCGCATCGACGATTCGTATAGTTGTGTCAATATATATATATATATATATTTACCCTCTTTTTTCATAGAAAAGATTTATGAAAAAAATGGACTTGAATAAAGATACTTGATATATGTGTCGTGTAAATAAAACTGTTTTGGAGGAGTCATTGTTACTCGGGACAGTTTCTGCGTTTTGTAAGACTATACAGCTTCTCTTTCTGACATTTCATGAAAATACGTCATCCTAGTGTCGCCCATTGAAATTAAAGGAAAAAAGATTCATATAAATACTTTACATAGTAATGTTTCAAATTGTTACTGTACTTCGGATTGTGTTTATGAGTTCCTGATGCCAAGCGCCTGCTCCAATTCCGCACGTTTCTGTTGCACTTTCGTGTAGAAGTACCGACAAACGGCTTCCTGTGCCCAAGGTTGATAGTAGAATTCCGCTCTACGTTCCTCCTCAGGATTTCCAACGACATCTATCATGGTCTTCAAGTCCCTAGTCTGTGAAATGATCCACTTGTTGATGAACTGCTGAGGGTCTTTGGCAAAACTCAAGAAAAACTCTCGGTTTGTTTTTAACTGATTGATGGTCTCCACCGTTTCGTGAATCTTATTATCTAAACTTTGAATCTCCTGTTGACTCGCAGTCGACAGCAAGAAGTTGTTCATTTGGGTTTTCAATGTGTCGTCCACTTCTACGTCTATGTCGTAACACGCAGTTTGTTTTGTTTCTGTACCTGTTCAAAAGAATACATTTTCATGAATTATGCTAAAATACGTAATAACGAATCAAAAAAGATTTGCTTGAAACATTTCTATGTACCTTCTACGCTGATAACATGATTAATTACAATTGGATCTGGTGGATGAAGCAGTGGGTTCAGTCGCTGAGGTATCTCTGCGAACTTCATCCGCGAACAAGCAAATATCTGTTCTAAGTACTTATCACAGTTTATGAATTCTCTCTCGTGACTGTCTTGGAGCTTATGCGTTTTTATGTACTGCCAGAGGGCGGAAATGATAACAGGTCTCGTCTGTGTATGTACACCTAACAATCGTGCTAATCTGGGATCCAGTTTGAACTGTAAACAAGGATGTATTTATATACTCTCGTTCTTTTGATGGTACATATTGAGTTTAAAATCTAGTACTTGTAAAGGTTGATAATCGAGAAGCAGAAGTATAGTGCACCGAACATTTTTGTCTCCAGGTCTTTTCACTTGGAAACCATCAGTCTCTTGTGTTGTTAATGTACGATGCCATTCAACCAAGTGGTTATCAGGTCCATACAGATCTTTATCCAATTCTATAACTAAGCTTTTAAAGAACGAAGAGAACTTCCTTTNATTTACCCTCTTTTTTCATAGAAAAGATTTATGAAAAAAATGGACTTGAATAAAGATACTTGATATATGTGTCGTGTAAATAAAACTGTTTTGGAGGAGTCATTGTTACTCGGGACAGTTTCTGCGTTTTGTAAGACTATACAGCTTCTCTTTCTGACATTTCATGAAAATACGTCATCCTAGTGTCGCCCATTGAAATTAAAGGAAAAAAGATTCATATAAATACTTTACATAGTAATGTTTCAAATTGTTACTGTACTTCGGATTGTGTTTATGAGTTCCTGATGCCAAGCGCCTGCTCCAATTCCGCACGTTTCTGTTGCACTTTCGTGTAGAAGTACCGACAAACGGCTTCCTGTGCCCAAGGTTGATAGTAGAATTCCGCTCTACGTTCCTCCTCAGGATTTCCAACGACATCTATCATGGTCTTCAAGTCCCTAGTCTGTGAAATGATCCACTTGTTGATGAACTGCTGAGGGTCTTTGGCAAAACTCAAGAAAAACTCTCGGTTTGTTTTTAACTGATTGATGGTCTCCACCGTTTCGTGAATCTTATTATCTAAACTTTGAATCTCCTGTTGACTCGCAGTCGACAGCAAGAAGTTGTTCATTTGGGTTTTCAATGTGTCGTCCACTTCTACGTCTATGTCGTAACACGCAGTTTGTTTTGTTTCTGTACCTGTTCAAAAGAATACATTTTCATGAATTATGCTAAAATACGTAATAACGAATCAAAAAAGATTTGCTTGAAACATTTCTATGTACCTTCTACGCTGATAACATGATTAATTACAATTGGATCTGGTGGATGAAGCAGTGGGTTCAGTCGCTGAGGTATCTCTGCGAACTTCATCCGCGAACAAGCAAATATCTGTTCTAAGTACTTATCACAGTTTATGAATTCTCTCTCGTGACTGTCTTGGAGCTTATGCGTTTTTATGTACTGCCAGAGGGCGGAAATGATAACAGGTCTCGTCTGTGTATGTACACCTAACAATCGTGCTAATCTGGGATCCAGTTTGAACTGTAAACAAGGATGTATTTATATACTCTCGTTCTTTTGATGGTACATATTGAGTTTAAAATCTAGTACTTGTAAAGGTTGATAATCGAGAAGCAGAAGTATAGTGCACCGAACATTTTTGTCTCCAGGTCTTTTCACTTGGAAACCATCAGTCTCTTGTGTTGTTAATGTACGATGCCATTCAACCAAGTGGTTATCAGGTCCATACAGATCTTTATCCAATTCTATAACTAAGCTTTTAAAGAACGAAGAGAACTTCCTTTTTACCTAGAGGTTTAAATGCAAGTTAACATGTTTTACTGCTGCTACACTGAATATCTTAAAACATTTCTTACTTTATTAGGATCATTCTTCGTATCGTCTAGGAGTCGACCTTCTACTCTAAGTTCCCAAGATGCTACTGAACCGTCCTCCCCCTCACCAGCCTCCTTCGCGGGATAAAATGTATTCGAAATAAATATTCGCAGCTTTCTCTTCTGTTTCATAGGACGTTTCAGTGCCTCCTGTATATCTAATCGTTTTCGCATTATGGTCGCATCTAACTTCCTCTCGAAAGCTAGCAAATCCATGTAAGCTTGTGACTCAGGCACTAAATCACGCACTTTCTGCGGCAGTATTTTATCCGCTAGCTTTTTCTTCTTCTTGGAAGTGGAATGTGAAAAATCACTGTTCCAAAAATACCTAAATGAGTTTATGTAAAAATCATAGATTCAAAAATCAATAAACCAATTTTGAAGCTTATGAAATGCAGTGAAGTTCCTGGCAAATTGGTAAATGATTTTCAATGCGAACACAGTATCATAATTCAAATAACTCGAAATATATTGGAAGGTACAGTATTCAATTTCCCTTATGTGTAAAATAAAATACTCCTTTCGAAGTATAAAATAAATACATCAGATCAGTTGTTTAATGAATCAATGAACACTGATAAAAATATGAATAATGTAAAATTAACAGAAAATCTTTTGTTTAAACACTTACGGCTTCTGTTGGGACATAGGTATACGTTGATCTGCACTTCTCTTCCCCACAGGCGGTGTGGGCATTGGACCCTGACGCATATTGGAATATGGTTGAGTTGCTCTGATTATGCTTGCTGGGCCAGGTCCAGCATTAGCCATCTGTGGAGGTGGAGTGAATCCGGATCTCTGTTGCATCTGTGTAAATAAATTGCTTATATATCCAACATTCAATGTTCAATTCATTAATACGTACATTTGTTAGTATCTAAATGGATTAAACGATGTGCAATATTAATATCAAAATACAGAATACACTTACAGAAAAATTTGGACCAGAATACTGTCGTAAGTTTGGAGGTACAGACGATGCTGTGTACCTCTGCTGAGGTGGGCCATTATTCCCTGCATTTGGTACAGGAAACCTTTGCGCCATGTCTGATGACTTCCCTAACAATCAAAACACATCATTCATCGCACTAACGAAACCAAAAAGAATCATTGTAAATTAGATTGTTGAACAAGAAATATTGTTTATATCTAAACAAAATGCGCAAATATTGTTCTCTTTTACCATAAAAGCAGGCAACAATAGTAGAAAACAAAAACATAATCTATGAGAAAGAGCGTTTAGTGGTTTGACAGATCGAACTTAATGCAACTGGTTTAATAGCTAATTAATTGTTTAATTAATAGGACTTACGAGGCGAGATATGAAAAAGTACTAGGAGAACGGATTTCAAAACACTGCGAAATTAGAGTCTCAACGGTTCGTCTGTTGGGTTCGAGTGTAAGTTTGCGTCACAACACATTTCGACGGGGTTCGAAGATGCAAAATTAGTTTCCGTTCCGGCGCAGGGTGAAGCATAAAGAGAGAGAACAAAGAGAAAAAGAAATAGACCCGGCGATTAACGAAAAACAACCTACGTTTTCGAAGTTCTTACTCTTCAGTTACTGCTAGGGTTAGTAAGCTTTGCGTTAAATGCATAAACGGCAGATTATACATAGGCATCTCTATGCGCACCGACAAAGTGCCACCTAATGACGAAACCTGGAAACCATTAACCATGGAAACAGAACGCTCGATTTTGATCGTAGACAGTATTTTTAATTTGATGATTTCTCATTTAAATCAGATTAAAACAACCAGAGTCTTGAATTTTCATAGATTTTCATAGGTGTATAGGTTAAATGTGCATAATATCAGAGAGAACATTTTCTCTCTTATAAAGCGTAGCAATAGATCTACATATAAGACAAGATTTTTCGCGGATATTCGAAAAGCACGGAATTTTTAAAAGTGTCATAAAGTGCGCTTATACTTGTGTTACTTTGTGCACTTGCAATTGTTCTTTTAATTGGATTTATCAGTAAGACTATATAATCTCCATTAAAGAAAAAAACATTTAAATTGTAAAAACACCAAGTAGTTGAGTTCGGGTTGAATTCTGGTTTTCACAAAAAATTTCCCAAAAAATTAATCCACTCAAATTAATTAACTTCGATTTTGATAAGACCAAGCTTAGACCATATCTACTCTAAGCATCCAGGAATGTCAAAGCATTCAGCCCAAGATATTATAAATAGTAAAGTAAACCTTATCTCAAAAAGGCATTATAAACTTTTATTTAAACGAATTAAATTATTTTTACTTCTCGACCAAATCCAAATCCAAAAATTGGTAACTTTGAGGACTCATGACTCGTAAAAAATTTCCAAATTAGAATGTTTGTGAAACGATACCGTGTAGGTCAAGATGATAATAATATTTACTGATGCCCACAGGTGCTGACAAGCAAGATATTACATATATGAAAATGACAATATAAGATAGAGGATGCCAATAAAGTTGCAAGAGTGATAACTAAAGCCTTGGAAATACACATTCCTTTTGAAATAAATCAAGTAAATTCTTAGTAGTAGGAAGATTTCACATAACATATACTAGTGTATAAAAATCTTACGATTCTTAAAATGTATCCTGGTAGTATAAGTAGTGGCAATGAAGATGGACAGAGGCTGAGGAATTATGAGTTATTTTCTATTATATGCAAAAAGTGCCACAAGAACAAATTATGAAAGACATTAGAATCTATCTAAAGAAGGGTGCAGATATAAATGCTCTAAATGTACGAGGCAAAACAGTTTTAGATGTTGCACATGATAAAAAAATCATGAGAAATTAGTTGAATTTCTTTCTGCACTAGGTGGTAAGACAGCATTAGATTTAGCGGATGGCAGCAATACTGATTCATATATATCTCAACAGCATAGTGATATAAGTAGAACTAAATCACAGCAGCAAATGTGGCAGCCAAATAAATATGGATACTGCTGACAATCAGGAAGTAGTGTTACCATTACTACAAACCACTAAATCTCTGCATTTAATTTTAATACTTAACTATTTCATTTTAAATGCAAAATAACTTCAGTTTTGTAAATCGTGGAACACCTGCTGGGTCTTTTCGGAGGGCCCCATAAGGTCGAAAGGGGTGAGGTGGTCTCACAATTATAATTAATAAATAAATTTATAATTTCAAGACGTATTTACGTTTCTATTTCCCCATATTTTTAAGTATCACTAGCTGGTGTATATTCTGATTCTTTCTTTAATTTTATGTAGAACAAAAATTTTCAAATTTAAAAGACAGTTAACGTTACTGTTGGATCCAACATAACTCTATGCTGCATACAAATAAATCTAGTAAAATGCTCTTGATTTTCTTGATCTTGATGAAAGATGTCGCCTGATCTTCTGATGAGAAAAATTAATTTATCGCAGAGTAGTTGCCGCTTTAAAACAATCTGAACGTTGAAGGTTATGTCAAGGTTATGTTGAACGAATACACTGATGATTTGTATAAAATATCTTACATAAACATGTCACAATCTTCACCATCTGTAGGTAATACTGTTTCTGTTACCTGAAAATATACCGACCTGTTGGCTCTGGAAAAGATATTTTGTCTTTGTTTATAGTTTCCCTTTCTACTAACAGAAGCGTTTCGTTAAGTTTCGCACTGTCGTCAACAGATGGTGAAACTATTGCCAGAACTTTTTTTATGCATATCAAATATCCCAAACTTTTTAAACTCAAATAGAAATTTTGCAAACGATCAAATACAATTCATGTCTTATTTATATTTTATACAATGTTGCAATTAAAGTAACTACCAATTAAAGTCCTTTTTAGTTTTCTAAGAACTTCTTATCCTCTATGGAAACATTACACTTTTTCAAATTTTCGCTATCTTCTCGTAAGGATTTTCTTAAGAAAGTGATCTTATCCAACAACGTAACCACTATTCCTGCCTTAAAAAAATATTCTTTTTAGTTAAGACTTATTCCACGTTAGTCCCTAAAGCGTAACATAGTAATGAATTTAAGCTAAAGCCGTGGTTCTGTTCTAGTTTTTTTTATTATTGTTTTGTATTATTTTTCTTTGTTATTGTCCGAACTATCAGAATTATCGGGATACTTTTAACTAACCGAATAATTCTACTACTATAATAATAATATAACATATAAATATATAATATAATATATAATTATAAATATAATATAAATATATAATTATATAAATAAATAATAATTCTACTATAATTCGACTACTCCGAACACTCGAATATCCGGATTATCCCGACAGTAAAAAAATCCGGACCACACGGCCAACACAACTCGCAACATCTTTCCAACATTGAAGAAATGATTAAGACCCGGTAATAATAGAATACCTTGAATACCAGATGCGCCAAGCGCAGTTCTTATGAAAATAATTAATCACGAAGCGCGGAGATTTAAATTTGGACAGTTCGTATTTAAATCGCGTCGGAACGCGGCGAAAAGTGCGCGATACGAATGACGAAGTGGAGGAACGCAGGACGCCGCGGATTATATTTAAACTTGACTAAGTAGCTAACGATTCCGCTACGGAACACAGTATTTCGTATCAATTGGGTTAATAGATCCGCCGCTTGCGTGATCATTCCTTATCATTTCTTGGAGAAGGAATGCTTTGAAAAATGATCCGTCAAACCGAAGCGACGATGTGTCTGTCCACTTTACGATAATTTCTCCCTAATTCGCGCTCAGATTGCGCACAAAAATGGACGATTTTTATAATATAATATATACAGGGTGTTCCAACATTATGGTACTTCCGGGAAATGAGGGATTCCTGAGGTTACTTAAAGTAACTTTTTCCTTAACGAAAATGAAATCCGCAGCTATGTTTACGAGTTATTAGCGAAAAACACTGACCAATGAGAGGCGAGCTCATAGAGCGTTAGGCGGCAGAGCCAATTAGCGGAACTGGGCCGCCCGTTGGCTCTGCCGCTTCGCTCCAATCGAGCTCGCCTTTCATTGGTCACCGTTTTTTGTTAATAACTCGTTAACGATGCCTCGAAGAAAAATTTTGTAAAGGAAAAAGTTACTTCAAATGCAAAAATAAGTCGAAAAAGAAGAATAGCATTTTTTTATTTAAGATTCCGTTCTTAAGAAAACTGAGTTGAAAGATGCGTCAAATTCACGTGGTTTGTAACATGACGAGAGGTAGAATCGGTATGTCATAACTAGACACGCCAGTTGATTCCTATTCAGTAGTATTACTTTCTCAACGTAATTTTTTTTTTCAAAAACGGAGCCTTAAACAAAAAAATATTATTTCTCTTTCTCGACTTATTTTTACATGTAGAATCATCCCCTTGCAGGTTACACCACGATTTTCCGCACACCCTATATATAATATATGATATAATATGTATATACAATATAATAATATAATATAATAAAATATATATATAATATATATTATAATAAAATAAAATAATATATATTAATATAATAATGTAATTTTAAATGTAATAATAACCTTGACAATCGATAACTATAAAAACGAGCCGCGAGGCTCGAATAATCATATCTTGTTTTCCCCAAATTGTCCATCTTCGTGCGCAATCTGAGCACGGATTAAGGAAAAATTATCGTATTTGTTATGGAAAAACTTCGGCCGACTTCGCGGCACGCCATGGGCCTTGGGCCTGTCTCCTTCGGTCCTCCGCTGTCCTCGGTTTCACGTGAATTCAAAAAGCGGCTCGTATAATAATAGTCTGACCTATATAGCGGCTGGGTTATTCACAGAGATAAAAAAAAGAAAAAGAAAAAAAGAAAACGCACACGGCACTTTGCGCAACCGAAATTTCGTTTACCCATTTCTCTTTCTCCCCGTTTCTGGTCCAGAGCAATGGGTACGGTGAAACGAAAAAGGGACGTTCGAATTGCGTTCGAATTTCTATCGCGATTTTGAAACGAAGACCGATGGTCGGCCTGATGGTCCTGCTGCACGATGGCAAAGTCAATATTTACATTAAGTAGAAACATCCGTCGATAGCCAGACGCGGCTGTTGCCAGTAGCATCCGGCAGTTCGCGCGCCCGCAAACGAGGCCCTCGAGCGCGAAATGCGGCGCGTTCCACGCTTTCTCGCCGAGCCTAAAGAGTTCTGAAATATTCGGTCGAGTCGTAAATAACTTCCGATGCAGCTAGATAGAATCTATTGTTCGTACATCCATCCACTGTATGAGTCACCGGGTCGAACGAGTCTTTTTGTTTTCGCTGAATAGACAAGGGTTCCAAATAAATGAGCAGAAGCGAGGAAAATAAATGAAAGAAAAAACAGAATAGATGTCTGATGAGAAAGGAGACGGGAGTTATTTATACGACTCGATCGTGTAGATAACACCGGACGAGTCTCGAATCCTTGAATTCTCTCGGGTCCTCTGTGACAGCAGCAAAGAATATGTGGGAGCTTGTGGCGGCCGCTTTCGAGATGATCGCAGATCGCGTTCGATCTCCGAGAGCCTCGTCGATCTCTCCAAGCAATTTGTCCACAGTTGGGCCGCGTCGGGACCTGTCCGTCACAGCTTGGCAGCCACGGTTTTTGGAAAATCTACTGAAACGGACAGGTCGCTAATATTAGATTCTCGATAATCGTGGAAGCACGCACACGCGAGCATATCCACCCACCGAACGCAGCCTTTGCTAGTCTTTTTTCGACGTGTTAAGCTGCACACTGTCGGCGAAACGCGTGGGACGTGTTCCTGCCGTGTGTCGCCGCCGGTATAAGAGGGGTCGGTGCTCAGCCCATGCACTTCAGTCCACTAAAAGAAACCCACCACCGTACAACGATGGCTCTTGAACGTCAAGTGCGCGCCAAGGTACGACCCTAACCGTGAACCATACTGTGCGCCGATCGTGCCCGGAGGATCGTGAGAGTTCGAGTGACCGACCCTTGGGGAGTCCCGTAGTACCACTCTTGAACCAGTGAATTGTGACGTTCCACCCTCTGGCGACTGGAGAAGCTCTTGTCCAACTTGCATCCGTTTGGTCGTGTAACAAATTCGTTCGCGGACCTATGACAGTTAGGAAGAGACAAGGGGAATTACACGAATTCGAAGCGATAAGGCAGATGAATATTGAGATACGTTCTCGCGGGGCTGTTTCTATGCGGCTCGGCTTAAATGAAAGCTGAAGGTGCATACTTTAAGATGGGGTAGATTAGGTCGCGATAGAATGACGAGATCATTTTGAAAAATTAAGAGGAATTGATCTCTGACATCGTGGGGTTCGCAAGATTCGAAACGAAAAGTTCAGATGGATTTTGGGATACGCTCTCGCGGGGCTGTTTCTATGCGACTCGGCTTAAATGAAAGCTGAAGGTGCATACTTTAAGATGGGGTAGATTAGGTCGCGATGGAATGACGAGATCATTTTGAAAAATTAAGAGGAATCAGTTTCTGACATCATGGGGTTCGCAAGATTCGAAACGAAAAGTTCAGATGAATTTTGGGATACGCTCTCGCGGGGCTGTTTCTATGCGACTCGGCTTAAACGAAAGCTGAAAGTGTCTACTCTAAGACGGGGTATATTAGATCGCGATGGAATGACGAGATTATTTTGAAAAATTAAGAGGAATCAGTCTCTGACATCATGGGGTTCGCAAGATTCGAAACGAAAAATTCAAATGAATATTGAGATACGTTCTCGCGGGGCTGTTTCTATGCGACTCGGCTCAAACGGAAGCTGGAAGTGTCTACTTTAAGACAGCTTAGATCAGATTAGTCAGCTCGCATCGACGACTGCATGGTATTATATTTTATTACAAGAGAAAGGAATTATTACATGACCTAACTGTTTGGCATTATTGCTAGGATTATCCTAAATCTAAGCTCGCTTACATTTGACAGAGGAATTCACGTGGATCTGATCGTGAATTGTAGTTAGATCCGAAACTTTAGCTGTCTAGGCTTTAGCTAGGGTTCATACGGTCTAATGAGGATCCGATATTAATTGAGAATCCATGTATAGCCAATTCAAATCTAATCTGGGAATAATAGAAAGCTAACTGTACTGACTTAGCACAGACCTGCCAAGCTGTAATCTTGACACCATCTTAGGTTTTTAGGTCTACGGAGACTAAGGACCTCTGGTTTACAATTCAGACTTAGGTCTCGGATTCCTAGGTTAGGTCTAGCCTCGACATAATCCGAGTCCATGGATACAAACTCAGATTTAGTCCAGGTCTGATTAGGTTACAATCTAGACCTAGGTCTCAGCCTTCCAGACGTAGACGCAAATCCATAGACCATTTCTGATCAAATCGTAATAGCACTTAACTTTTGGACGGTGGACCTTACCCGAGCAGTTAGGGCAGCCACGGCTGGATCCATTCAAGTCTTAACGATTCATTTTCGTTTGTATATTATCAAGTTCGTGATCATCAGCTTCGATATTAACAGCTAATAATTACATAGAACTGCCACGAAATTAGAATTTAGACGGGACGTTTGCAAACTCTGGGTCCAAACGGACCCGGCGCCCGCCATCCGGGTAGTTAAACGTGACTCGAAGCGAGTTTGAACGAATCGAACGACCACGCCGACGGTTTTCGAGCTTCTCCAGTGTTTGCAACCAGAGAGTTCGATCGTATTCTTCAAGAGTCGATTTGATTTTCTAATTCTCTGGCTTCGCAGTCGTCTCGGCTGCGCCATTTTCCCATAACGGCGGGAAACGCGACGATTTGAAATTCCTTTCGGGAACGATCGATCAATGATTTTAAAAGAGGACGATCCGTCTTCGTTTCCGGCTGTGTAGATCGCGGCGAAGCGTAATCCCGAACAGGAGAAGGAGGCCCAAGAATGGATCGAGTCGATCCTTGGCAAGAAATTTCCCCAGGGTGAGTCGTTCGAGGACGTGCTCAAGGACGGGCAGGTGTTGTGCCACCTGATGAACAAAATCTCTCCCGGATCGGTCCCCAAGATCAATTCTTCCGGCGGCCAGTTCAAAATGATGGAGAACATCAACGCGTCAGTAACATTTCATCGAAGATCGATTATCAGTTCTGCCTTGATATCTCGTAGCGTGCTAACGCGAAGGTCATTTTTCCATTTAGGTTCCAGAAAGCACTGAAGGAATATGGCGTGGACGACGTCGACGTGTTCCAAACCGTCGACTTATGGGAAAAGAAGGACATAGCGCAAGTAATCACCACTATGTTCGCCCTTGGTCGCACGGTAAGTTCAATTCGGAATTCGTTCCGTAATGTAGTAATTTCTCCCTAATTCGCGCTCGGATTGCAAACAAAAATGGACAATTTGGGGAAAGGAGATACGATTATTCGAGCCTCGCGTTTCGTTTTTATAGTTATCGATTGTCAAGGTTATTATTACATTTAAAACGATATTATATTATATACATATTATATCATATATTATATATAGGTATATATGTATATGTATAGTAATATATACATATTATATATATATAATATTATAGTATATTATAGTATAGTATAGTATATTATTATACATATTATATACATTATATTATAAAAATGAAAAAAAGCAATATATATATAATGTATAATATAATATCGTTTTAAATATAATAATTCTTGATCATGGGTAACACTATAAAAACGAACCGCAAGGCTCAAATAATCGTATCTTCCCTTCCAAAATTGTCCATTTCTGTGTGCAATCTGAGCGCGAATTAGGGAGAAATTACTGTAATCCGATCAATCGTCTGAACGCATGACTCTGACATTTTCCAAAAAATATTGGACTTTAACACTAGATCTACCAAAGCAACAGACTCTTTCTTTTACAGTTTCTGATATTATAAAATCATTTCTAGGAGAATTTTATGCTATAAATTTAGAAGAACAATATAATATAAATATAAGTATAATATAATAAGTAATAAAAAAGTATATAAATATAATGTAGCAGAATAAATAGGAGAATATTATAATATAAATCGTATGAAGTTCAATTAAATCCAGTCTTGGCATTGTTATAAAACAATATACTTTAACCGCGTTGGCTTGGGCTTGGTAGTTCTAGTGTTAATTGGACACTCTAAGTGGAACAAATACAGTCAGGAAATGATTGTCAACGTTTTGGCACATTCGCTTCCATCTCTTTTGCATCGACCAGCTCTGCCAGATAATGTATCGCCGCGCGATCATTAACATGCAAGAACGACGCCGTGGTTGTCTCGACGATCCGATATACAGTAATTTCGCCCAGAAATGCTCGGAAGTCGGAATTGAAACCGGCAGATCTGAGAATACTAAGTCGCGATTCTTCGAGCCTCGTGGCGCGCAAAAAAAGACAGCGGCCAGCTTGCCGGTGTACATTAATATGAATACATAGTAATGCTAGAATAAAAACGATGGCTTAACTATATTTCTAATTTTTATATATATATATATTTCTAACTTTATTTCTAATTTTTTGTCACGATTCGGATCAGGCAATTCGGAGGCCACGTGACACGATTCGAAGGCAATTCGGAGGGCACATGCCACGATTCGACGGTCCTAGTATAAAATAACCTAATAACTACCACGTATCTTCTAGCTCCGCGGTTTTTCTTACTTGACTCACATCCAAACAGACCAATTTGTGTTGTCTTCCGGGAATTCGACGTGACAATAAATTACATAGGCGTCGGACTAGCACGGGGAAATTCACAGCAACCCGAAATTTGGCATTTCCGGGATAAATTACGGTAAAACGAACTTGGGTGACTTAAGATCTATGAATGAGTGCAATGTCGTCGCCATTTAAATCGGTCGTTTGTAAATTTCGACTTCGCTTTACACAAAACGTTTCCAAATATTTCTTCTGCCTCGAAGCACAAATGCAAATATTCGTAATATCCGTCGCTATTGATTTCAACGACGAAACTTGCGGTTGTTAAATATTCCACTCGATTTTAACTAGTTACCTGTGGCGTCTGCTTTTTAGAGTCAAGCGACGACGAGTATACTCGTCGAACACGTCGCTGTTCAAACGTTGGATCGAAAAGACGGTTTTATTTTATAAAATTAACAATTTTATTATTATAATATTTACTTATTCGCTCAACATTAACATACACTAATATACATAATAAACGAAAAACGCAGGAAAAATCAAATACTTGTGAAAGTTAAAAATTCAAATTGCCGCTGTAGAGCGATATTCGGCAACGCAACGAACGACACATAAAGGCGCTTTGCACATCGAACACCAATATCGTGAATTATTCATATAATTATTCATATTTTTTATTTTGACCTGGCCTCGAAATATTTTAAACATCTTGAAATTTGAGAATATGTTTTTGTTTCCACTAAAATTACAATTTAAATAGCCAATGATCACTACTTTTTACGCACACAAAATATTGCCACTTCTCCACGACGAGTATACTCGTCATAACACAAAATACTGCCACTTCTCTATGACGAGTATACTCGTCCTGACACAAAATACTACCACTTCTCCACGACGAGTATACTCGTCCTGACGCAAAATACTGCCACTTCTCCACGACGAGTATACTCGTCCTGACGCAAAATACTGCCACTTCTCCACGACGAGTATACTCGTCCTGACACAAAATACTACCACTTCTCCACGACGAGTATACTCGTCCTGACGCAAAATACTGCCACTTCTCCACGACGAGTATACTCGTCCTGACGCAAAATACTGCCACTTCTCTATGACGAGTATACTCGTCAAACGCGGCTAACTGACTAATCAGGACAGATAAAATCGCATCTATCTAGATCTGCCAGAAATCAGAGACGCGTCGAAATAATTCAGTTTCGTTCACTCGTCGAAGCTCCAATCCTCTGCAAAGTTCCAAACGTTTTCATACGGCCGCCATTGTTTGCGTAGACGTACAAGCACCCCGAATGGAAAGGACCCTACCTGGGACCGAAGCCGGCGGAGGAATGCAAACGCGAGTTCACGGAGGAACAGCTCCGGGCTGGCGAGGGTGTGATCGGCCTCCAAGCAGGATCGAACAAAGGCGCGACCCAGGCGGGCCAGAGTCTCGGCGCAACCCGCAAGATCCTCCTCGGAAAGTAGACCAGGATCGTAAGCGAGCGGCGCGGCGCACCCTTCTTAGACTCCAAAATTTCGATTTTCCATTGTACATGTATATTATATATTTATTTTGTATTTTGTAATTGAAACAATAAGAATATACCATCTATATTACTATATATATTATTTATCGAGCGTGCAGGCCCCATTTTCGTTTCCTGCGTCGCGCTGGCTGAATCACCGGGGCACGTATATTATCCCCCGAAACCGCTAAAAATACGCGCGGTCGGAACGAGCGCAACAAAATTTTACAACAGCTGACGGAGTTAATAGAAACGCGAACGTCGGTCGCGACTTCTGTCCGCGCGATTCATTCGTCCCGGTGATTTATCGAATAAAATGCACCGTTCATGCCCGGTGTCCCGATATCTTACCCAAAAATATCGGATCGGCGACTGGCAACCTACCGACTTGATTACGCGAGATGATCTCATCGGACGTTTATTTGCCAATTGACTGGACGATCTCAATTTTTGTTTAAAACCGTTCTCGGATGGTGTAGAATAAATGGACGTCGTTTTCCACCGTTATACCACGCCGTTGGCTTTCCACCAATCTTCTCGTTTCCGAATCGATCGAATTTAATTATTGAATAAATTAGTAGCAGGGATGCCGGTTGGCGTTTCTATGGTAAAGCGAGCATGATAAATAAATAAATAAATAATATAATATAATATAATAAATAATAAAGTAATAAAATAATAAAATAATGAAATAATAAAATAATGAAATAATAAAATAACAAAATAATGAAATAATGAAATAATGAAATAATGAAATAATGAAATAATAAAATAATAAAATAATAAAATAATAAAATAATGAAATAATGAAATAATGAAATAATAAAATAAATAATTATTATATATATAAAAAATATTATTATATATATAATAATATTTTTATTATTTTAGAGAGAGAGAGGGAGAGAGAGAGGGGGGAGAGAGATAATTAATTGACCATTTATGCTGAATTTAATAATCGATTGCGGCAATTAAAAAGCTGCAATTAAAAGGCTTCACGTGACAAAAGTTGACTTTTAAATTGCGCAATGGCGTAAATAAAACTGTCACCGTGTCTTCGAAGCATCCTCGGAACGACTCGGCCGACTTTCTTTGTCTTTTCCATTGCCAAGATTCACCGCCCAATTCCCTCGGTCCCGGTCTAATAAGATACTCCCATTAAGCGAAACACGTGTTAATATTTACGAATAGCAGCAAGGAAAACATAAATATTCTACTGTGTCCGCGATCTATAAATAATTGTTTATTCGACCGGCTGTCTATTATTGCGATGATATTGGCCTCATCTCCGGCTCGGGTCTCTTCCAACAAGTACATTTAAAGTCTGAGAGAATAAAATGTAACCCGATCTCGGCCCGATGATGCAACGCACGAAAACGTTCATAAATTCGAGCACTATGTATATAATATCGCGTCGAAGCATTGTTGCGTTCGTCAACCGTCGAAGTCGTCGGCTTGAATATTCTTGGAAACCGACTGAGAAAAGAATGGAATTTTTTCGAGGGAGCGTCATTTTACAGCTCGTCGTAAGCTGAGAAATAGCATCGGGATAGCTTCAACGACGTTTCGGAATTCGTGGAATGTCGTGCAATGAAACATTGTGCACCGCGGTGCGTCGAATAACAACAGGTGGATGACGATCAGTTCGACAAGTGTTGGCCCGCGCACCGAAATAGTGATATTGTAATTCGCGGAGTGTATCGCGGGTGTACACATGTGCCGTAAGATTCCATTTGGCACGGCCTTCGTCGCAACAGGTCGGTCTAAGTTTATTTTCGATGCTTCCAGACCGGCGCGAGGCGAATCAACGCGTTTGCTGTGTAATCCTCGTCCGTGGAATCCTCGATGGAACGCATTTGGAGCTACCTAGATAGGGCATGTGTCCCAGTTTCCGTGCCTGTCCCAATTTCCGTGTCCCCCTCCACTCCACCGGATTAAAAACGTATAGAAAAAGGAAAGTTTTATATAGATCCCTTATTTTGAAAGTGATGTAAGTCCATTTAAAAAAAAATGAGATTATCACATAATTTGTGATTAATTTAGTGTAACTTTTTTTATTTATAACTAAAAAATGTGGACCTGCACCGCTTTAAAAATAATATATAAATTGATACCTCTCCCCGAATTTTACATGTAATAGATGAACGCAATAATAATTAAATATATAATAATTTATATATAATATTTATATATTATAAATAACATAATAATAATTTATATATAAAATTTTCCCTTTTCTATACGTTTTTAATCCAGGGGGCACGGAAATTGGGACAGTCACGGAAACTGGGACACCTACCCTATATATTCATCAAATTACAACGAAGAGCACGAATTGAAGATATTAAATCTTTTGATTTTCTAATTCTCCAACGGTTTTTTGATAGACTTTATAATACTTTTTTTTTGTGACACCGTCCTGATATCGCTCGCAAGATGACTAACAAATGCTGATGGCATTCAATAGAAAGTGGTTCTATTACAGGTGTGAACATTAAAGTGTTAAACATTTAATTTTGTTTGATTGTGCACGCAAGGAATATATTTGTATCGTGCGTTGTGAATTTTCATGGAAGAGTAATGAAATATTGATTTTTATTCCAGCGCGAATAATTATTGCCGTTTCAGTCGTAAAGGAGTATGTAAATTCCGGCAAGAATCATTTGTTCGATTTAAACGTCCGTACAGCGCCACTCCACGTGGCGGCAAAACGCTCAAACTGTTAGTCAAATTACCGATTGTAACGGATGCAAATAATGTAAATTCCTATTTCATCACCGTTATTAGTTTTCCATTTTACCGACAACAATATCAATGAATTTTTAGGGGCACATGTAAATATTGATTTAATTATTCATTATTCGTAATCAATGAATTTCTTTTTTGAAACAGATCTGAATAAATCTTCGGAGCAGTAACACATAAAAATCTAAAAAAATATATTTTATTTGTAAATACATATTGTAATAATTTAAACCCAGGATAAATGCCCTTAAAATGTTTCAATTAAGAGGAGCTTTTATAATATAATTTGTTAATTTATTTCGATATACACCTTTCATTCCAACGCTTTTGTTTAACATTTAAAGAAATTTAATCTGTTTCGCTTGTAACGAGTCGACGAAATGCTTTCGATAAGTAAATAGAGACGTAAAAGAACAAACTGGTAAATTAGACATACTAAAGTCCTAGAACGAAAATTGAAACAATGTATTTTATAGGTCTCGGTAACTTATATACATGCTGAAAATTTAATTTGAATCGGTTCACCTTGTAATGAGTTACATACGAATAATTGAAGATAGTGAAATAGCACGTTTTTATGACCGTTTGCATCTTATCAGCAATCTAACATGTGCAACATACTTCAATCGTAAATTTCCAATCAAATTTCAATAATAAAGTTTACTGTACTACATCGTTAAAAGGCGTACGGAAATATGATCTAGGTAGTGGGATAAAACGGATTGATTGATATGGCTGCACCTCGAGATTTCCACCCAACGGATAAGAAAAAGAACAGCGTTTGAAAAAGTATAACTTTTATTGATCGGTATCGCTCCGTCAATGGATTCATTTGCTCCACCATGCAAGAAGATAACAAAACATTTATTATTATACAAAAAGGAGGAAACAAAACATCGAAAGGCTTTCAAAACCTGAGAAAAGATGTCGAGGAATAAGTAAAATGTACAGGAGTTCTCTGTCGATCTTTCTCAGGATTCATCTTCAGTCTCTAATCGTCCTTTACAATTTGTATTTAGCGCCTCTGATGATGGGGTATTTATCACCGGTACAGATACCCCTGAAGTCATCCAACGACAGGTCGTAAATTGCTACACCGCCCAAACCCTTGGCTTTGGCATAAGCAGCCTTGTCCCCAGCAGTGTTAGGGTTCTCGTACCCAACCCAGATACCATCGGCACCGGTATTCTCGTCGTAAGCTTGGAAGGCGTAGCTGCCGTATTTCTTGGACGGGTCGTTTACGTATCTCAGACGACCAACGGCGCTCTCGGTCAACCTGGTGCACACCTCTGCGTACGAGAGAAGCCCTGGGATGGTCGTGTGCGGCCCTTCAGCACCTGGACCATCGGCAACGAGAGGTGGCACACCTGATATTTGGCTCTCGGATGTCAGTTTCCATGTCCTAGCGAACGTGGGGATTCCCACAACAATTTTCGTGCCTGGCGTGCCGTTGTCGAGCCAATACCTTGAAGTAGCATTCATACTTTACGGATATTTTTGACTTGTAACCCGGAACAAACAGTTTTAGCCGATCTAAATTATTTTTTGATACTCTATTATTTGAAAAATGACGCCCATTCTCACCTAGATGTAGCGTCAATGTTGTCATCAATGACACGTCCATAACTTTCGTAGATGGGTGCAGGGTAGTCGGCTTCCTGGGGATTGCGTTCTGGTGACTTTTGGTCAAAAGTGAACAGATGTACGGCGTCGATGTTAGGCGCCAACAGTCTAGCGTCATAGTAAACTGAAAAGAAACCAATTATAAACATATTATTATTATTTAATTTTCCAATAATCTGACATATTTTCCTCCCACTAAATCCTTCCTGTCTTTCTAATCTCCATTTTTCTGTGTGCACTTACGTCCTAATAAATAGACTGCGGGTCTTTATACGAAATAAAAATTGTTTGCGTGTGTTGCAAAAGACACGAGCCGCTCTTGGAAGTTTTATTCCTTCTTTTAATAATTTTAGTAGATCATGAGTAATATGTCGACATTGTTAAATGCTTTTCATCTGTCCACTGTTACAAATTGCAAACTCGTATTTTTGTTATAAATGCATGAAATTCGCAGTCTATTAATAAACGTAAGAAATAATTCACACACGCATTATTTACAATTACTTTCCCAACGGAGTCACGCGCAGTGCAGTCAGGAAAAGTCACTACGCGAAGCGACGAATGCGCAAGGAATCCCGCACAACGGCGTGGGGTGTGTACCGGGTGAACATTGTAATTCCGTACGACGACGGCGACGCGACGCAGAGCCTCGACCCGATCGTAGTTCAGAATTGTAATGCACACATGCGAACACTGATTACAGATATTTAAAGCGCTGACAGAAGCATTCATGTTTCTGACACGTTCGCGATCTCATTGCAAAACGAGGAAAACAGAAGCCTCGAATCACCGCTCTGACCAATTTACCTCTACGTTTCTTAAAATAAGGAAACTATTGATTCTCATAATTTGACTACGACGACGAAACACTTATGCGGACGTTGAGGATCGATACCGACCACTGCTGTTCACATGCGGCAGGACAGTGATGGTCAAAGCCTTGAACTTGGGCCTGAGCTGGGCCTTCAGATCACGGACCAGAATCGTGAAACCGTCGCGGTGCTCTTGTTCCTTGTCGTCCTTGAACTTTCCATAACCGAAGGTTTTCTTGACGCCATGCCAGAACGAGCCGAGGGTGCTGCGTTGTTTCTTGACCTTGACTGGAGGGAACTGCCATGCCAGATCGATTCCATCGAAGTCGTAGTCGTTAAGCAGTCTGTTCACGGAGTTGATGAACTTTGATCTAGCAGCTGATGTCTCTGTCTGCAAAGGAATAGAGTAAACTCGTTGCATTCGATAGACAGGAATAGTTGATTAAAAATGAGAGGTTATGTATGATCGCGCGAACGTTCTGTTTACATTTCGTGCCAGTTGAACGTAGCTCAGAAATACTTACAGCGACAAGGTATTCGTGAGTCTCCTCCGGGGGGTCAGCATTGCCACCGATGCTAAGGTAAACCTTCAGATCCGGGAAGGCTTTCTTCAGTTGAGGAACAAGCCTGTAGTAGGCGTAGCCAGCACCAGTGTCAAGATTAGGATTCAGTGATTGAACTTCAAAGTTGTCAGAAGTGATCCCAGCAAATCCATAGATCAGGTGGGTGCAAAGAGAGAGTGCCGAACGAGCATCGTCCAGCTGGAACTTTCCTGGTCCTGAAAGGTATAAAAATGGCTGTAGAAAAATCCTGTTTCCTTACGTTGCTTTACGTTGTTTTGCTTTGTTTTGCATTGATTATTTACATTGTTTTACGTTGTTTCACTTTGTTTTCACGCTGTTTTACGTTGTTTTACCTTGCTTTACGTCTCACGTTGTCTCACGTTGTTGTTTAAAACAGTATTACGTTGTTCTGCGTTGCTTGTACATTGTTTTCACGTTGTTTTACTTTGTTTCGCATTGATGATTTACGTTGTTTTACGATGCTTTACGTACTTTGCTTTGTTTCGCGTTGTTATTTAAAACGGTATTATGTTGTTCTACGTTGTTATACATTGTTTTTACGTCCTTTTATATTGTTTTACATTGCCTTACGTGTTGATGCCTTTGTTTCGCATTGATGAGTTACGTTGTTTTACGTTGTTTTACCTTGTTTTTACGTTGTTTTACCTCGCTCTACGTTGTTTTACATTGTCTCACGTTGTTGTTTAGAACAGTATTACGTTCTTCTACGTTGTTATACATTGTGTGTTTACGTTGTTTTATATTGTTTTACATTGCTTTACTTTGTGTTACGTTGTTTTTCTTTGTGTCGCATTGTGTGATGATTTACGTTGTTTTACGATGCTTTACGTTACCAAAAATATAAGAACGGTGATCAGCAGAATTGAGAGAATGCGAGTGATAAGAATGTGTTTTTCAAAGTGTTTTACCTTGTCTTTCAAAGGCTGTGCTGTTCCAGAAGCACACCACCTTGTTGTGTTCATGGGGATCGGCGCTGAGGGCCAATTGAGCAGAGAACGCCACGAAGGCGACAAGAATCAACACCTTCATTGTCGCAGACTGGTCCTGGAACAAAGCACAATTATCGTGGTTTAGTATTCACTGTTACACTTACGCGGCAGAATCACACCTATATAGTACTTAGCGCATAACTACATATGGCGGCCTTCAGAAGACCAAGTCTCTCCAATTAGGTAATTCAAGAATTACAGTTGTCGAAGGAAACGGATGAAATTAACTCTCGGACGGCGGGCGCCGGGTCCATTTCGACCCGGTGTTCAAAACGTTTCGTCTAAATTCTAATTTCGTGGCGGTCGTATGTGATTATTAACTATTAATATTGGAATTATTATAAATATTATATGTAATTATTAAAAATATTATTGAAATTATTGGTCTCAACAGAGAGGTTTTAATAACATACAAATGAAAATTAATCGTAACGATTTGGATGGATCGAGCCGTGGGAGCCTTAAATACTTAAAAATGTCCGCCGTCCAAAAGTTAAAGAAAGAAAACATTGCAATCTCCACTAGAGGAACGACAAGTTTTTCCTTTTTTTTAACAAAATGTTTTACCAAGTACTATTACTAATAGCGAACAAGACTAGAATTACTTTCACTAAAACTTTTAAAATGAATTTTTGAACGATCTATTGTAACTTCTTGAAATCCCTCAAGGATGATGTACAGTGTCAAGGATGGCGGTGTATAACTGTAGCAACGAGTATACGCGTTGGCACAATGAACTGAAGCAGCGCCATAGGCAGGTCTTACCTTTTGGAAAGGAAGAAGCAGACTGTCTGGAACAATTTCTTCGGCTGGGACTTTGATACCTTGGCCTGATCTCTGTCGAGGTAGTGGGGCTTGTCGCTGTTACGTCATCGCCATCGATCTTCTTCCAGTGGTGGTTTCTCTTGATGCACAGATCCTGCTGATACGGAGGTCCGAGAACCGAAGGCCGAAGGTCCGAAAACTTTCTCGGAACGGATCTCCATTGGAACCTTGGATCTCTAACCGACTCGATAAACATCCTTTTTAAGTTTGCTGTTTTTCCTGCTATTATTAGATCGACGTTAGGTCGTTGATCATGCTGTGTAATTGTAAAGAAATGAAGAACAATATTTATTGACTGTTTAAAATAATTTATGGATAGTCATCTTTGAATTTAGTTAAGTGATTAAACTATCTATAAATAATCGACAAAAATAAATTGGAAAGTGACTATATATAAGTTAGTTAAAGGAATTATTTTAAAAAATAAGTTAGGAATGAGTGATGCTATGTAATTGTGAAGAAATGACGATTTATAAAACAGTTATTCAGCGACAGTCTTTTGTTAACAGTTGACATGCATCAATAGTTATTTATTGTATCAATAGTATTTATTGACTGTTTAAAATAATTTATCGATAGTCATTTTTGAATTTAGTTAAGTGATTAAACTATCTATAAATAATCGATAAAAATAAATTGGAAAGTGATCATCTATAAGTTAGCTAAAGGAATTATTTTCAAAAATAAGTTAGAAAATCACAATCTGTGAGTGATGTTTTTTCAAATTATTTATATTTTATGATCGTTACTGTTCATCGATAGTGACTGAATTTCTGAGACACGACAGTTGCCAATACAATGAAGAATAAGACGCAGGTCAATGTTTGCACAGGTTTTCTTCTAATCTTCATTGTGTGCTATTTTGAATATTGGAAATTGGAGGGTGAGGAACCGGGGGAACACAGTTTCTATCCTGTCCTGTTTACATTGGCTATCTAACGTTTTATTCCACTTAACTATCGGAATACCAATATGTCTGCGTTAATTTGCCGAAGCCGGGACCGCAACCTTTCACTCGGGTTATCACGTTTACGTGGAACGTCGTCACCGCGTCCACTAGATCGCTGATTCTTGTGTAATTATTCGTTCGAATATCGTCTTGTAAATTTTCTCGTACCGCCAGAATTTATTATCATAAATGTTCGTAATTTTCAATACGAACAATTTAGGACCACGTACATTCAAGCACAATAATCCACGACAGTTCGTTGTAATAACTAATTTTTGGTTTTATTTCGCAACGATTATTTTTTATGATGATTAAATGGAAACATCTGCCATTAATTTGTTAACAATTCCATGCAATTAATTCTATGCGCACATCGAGAGTATTATTTGTCTATAAAACGAAGGAAAAATTACTTGCATGTACAGAAAATCTTCGCAATCGTCTCCAGACGTGAAGAAAATTTTCCGACGATGCCTCATTGTGCCACGTTACAGCGTTTCATAATTGTCACGTACCGACAAACATTTAGGTATAGCCTGCACTAAACGGAACAAGAGCATTCATTGTTTCGCTACAATGGTTTCTTCGGTTTCGTTCATTTCGCAACGATAAAACGAAAACTATTTTCAGCATTTTTTCCCTCGTCGTTCGGATTTATACATTTGTTTCTCAAAACGAACATAAACATTTGTCTTTTGCAACGAACAAGCGAGAAATAATTTGATTTCGACGACGGCCAGAAAACATTTCGCAAATGTTTTCTACGCGTTTTGAGATTCATTGGCTGCCATTGCTTTCAAACTACATATTGCGAGGCCGTCTCGGCGAGATCCGATTAGCATAATTCAATGTTTAGTATAACGTGTTTCATCCAGCATCGCCTATTTATCGTAGCCGGTAGATAAGACGGAACAATATAATTCGAAGGAAATCGACGTTTTAATTTATCTGTTCAAGGTTTGTTTTTAAGTAGATCGCAACGTAACGAGGACGACAATTCGACTTCCTTTAGGCTCATTGAATATGATCAATATACTCAGACGTGATCTCATCTTGGAACGTATCGCACAATCGTTTCCAATTACCTTGTCACGAGTCCGTCCACGTATACTTGCTAATTCACGTGTGAAATAGCCTTCGTCCATTTTTGCCCATCTTTGCCCATCACGCATGCACGGGTCACGCGAGTCACCCTTGTCGTTTCACGGGAAACAATTCATTCTGTTTGGAGTCTCCTTGACATTGAACAGCGGCATTCGTATGCAGAGCCTGCGTCCAAAATAACATAAAAGACACTGTCTTCGTCGCCTTCGCCCGAGCGGTCCATAAATTTCAGCAAACAGCGTTCGATTTTTACCACCTCCTCGTTGCACAGAAAACCGTTTTATCGCGTATCCGATAACTTACTTTACGTAAAACATCCGAACTTCGGGGTAATGTAAATAATAAAATGTTTGCTTGTAATCGTGGGGGAAGTACCGAGAAGTATTCTATACACTGACCGCAAACGACCGTTTTGCTGGCCGTACACGAATTAAACAGGAAAATATTGTTATGAAACTTCCCGGTAGTAATTTCGTTCTACGAAGGTATTTTACAAAATAGCCTTAATAGACGAAGGTGTCTTAAAACGATAATATTGTTAACAGTGGTGCCAAGTGCAATCATAATTTATTCTGAATACAGAAAATATTTAGAAATATTTATAGATATTTAGAAAATATTTAGAAATGTTTATAGATATTTAGAAAATATTTAGAAAGTATGTAGAAATATTTATAGATATTTAGAAAATATTTATAGATGTTTAGAAAATATTTAGAAAATATTTATAGATATTTAGAAAATATTTAGAAAATATTTATAGATATTTAGAAAATATTTATAGACATTTTGAAAAGATCGTACCATTTGATAGCACCATGTTCGTTAAAATTGTTATGTTTGTTTTGGAAATACGAAAACACATGTAACGTTAACCCGAACGGTGTACAAAAGTGATTTGACGACGGAACTAATTGGAACGTCTTTGATTAGCTGTCCATAAGATGTCGAATGTTTTCGAATTATTCCAAACGTAAATTATGCAAAGCGAGCAAGATCCGTACAGATGATTTCATCGAACCGACTGGAACATGCTCTCGTTTTATTTGCCAATGAGTCAGTCTCACACGTACACGTTACGCAAGCACAGAATACGATACAGGACGATAGTTCTGGGAAACGATTCACTGCGCTTCTAATCGCAGATCATGGCTATCGGCGGCGTTGAAAAGATCGCGATAACATGTGTACGAACACTGTTTAGGGGATTTATGATCCTTTGAGCCCTTGCACAGGCGGCAACTGATACCATCTGGCTGTCTCGAACAGTATTTGTATACGTAATTGTTTATATAACAACGTCGAATGAAACTGTTGCAAAATCATTATGTTTACTTAAACAGCTATGCAGTGCGAAAAGAAAGATATCCTCGATGATCGATGAACATGTAGCTCAGCACTTTTAATTAATTTTATATTTTTTTTTGTTTATATGTTTTTGTAACATATAATTTGCTTTTGTAATATTTTTTTGCAACAGGCTGATCTTTTCCCCTGGGAACTCTATTTTTGAATGGTTAAAAAGTGGTTACATTTTAGAGTGTTATTCTTTTTATTGTATCGACGATTTGTCCATTTTTGCCTAGAGACGGAACAAAGGAAATAATATAATTCGAGGAATTCAAATGTATGTTAAATCCTAGAAAAAGACAAAAATATAAACAATAAATTAAATTACACATTATTCTTGCCGCGTTCGTCATAACAATTCTGGCCAGAATTATTTGTTTCATTTACGGTATTAACCTCTGCAGCAGCAAATCGCTCACATTGGTTATTCGAAATTATCGACAGAGCAGGGAAATGTAGATAGTAGCGCCGCTTGTGCCAACATGTCGAAGCCATGCCATACAGCGCCAATTCAAGTAGTAGCAAAACGCTCAAACTGTTAACCAAATTACCGATAGTCGGTTGTAGGGGATGTAGAAAATTCTAAATTTCTATTTTAATAAAGTTTATTAACAAATTTTGTTGCGAACCACACGTTTCATCGCTATAAGCTTGATGGTTGCACAGGAAAGCGTTGTAGTGATATTAGAGATATAATGATTATATTTATTATGCGATACATCGCATTATACAGGGTGTCCCACAATTATTTTAACAGCCGAAAATGAGGGGTAGCTGAGGTCATTTGAAGTAACTTTTTCCTTTGCGAAAATGCAATCCGCGGCTTCGTTTGCGAGTTATTAACGAAAAACACTGGCCAATGAGAGGTGACGGTGCGAGAGAGAGAGTCCGCGAGAGAGTCCGCAGCACGAGGCTTTGACAGATTGTCGAGACGGACTCGAGCCACGTTCGAAGTATTGAACAAATCACGAAGCGAGAACTTTCGGGATTTTTTTTTACTACGTAACAGTGATATTTTTAAGAAAAACTTTACTTTAGAACGTCTGAAGAATATTTACTCATTTTTCGGACCCGAAATAATAAATAATTTAACCGTGACGGCCGTTTTAATTTTCTAGTGTGCATGACACCTCGTGTGTAACAT